TCAGCACAGTCAGTCACTCGAGCCAGATATTAAGATGATGAAGATGAAATGAGATTATCTGAATCCACTTAAATGGCTAATGATATGGTGCATGAATGATGATGATTTACTGTATCAACAGTTTTGAAAGGACATTCTCTTTTGCTGTGATCCATACAATGAAATCCATACAATCTAATGCCTGAATATAAAAATACAGGTCCTGGACGCTCTACCCTATCTATGGGGGACACGCCAGGCCATGATCGGCATATTATAGGATATCAACGAAACTGAAAACTCAGAATGGACTAACTATGGTATGTTAGTTTCGCTGCTCTACGTGTTTCGTAGCCGTTTAGCATTGAATCAACCGCGATATAAATGGACAGTTGGGCAAATTAATATAGTGGAATGGAAGTGATGGGGCGAACTACTTGTTACACTGCACGTGACGATGATGTGCTGAACATTAAAGTATTCTTTATTGTTGCCCGTTTTTAAATGACCATGTGCTCACGTTTTATTGCCATTTGTTTTACTTTGTATCGTAGCTGTTTAGTATTTTGATGACAAATCGATTTAGACTTTATTGAGATTATTATTCCGCATTAAAAGTTTTTCATCAGACTTCTTACGTGAAAGGCTAAACTAAACGACAGTAAAAATATTATTACTTAAATCTATTTCCTTTCAAAATAAAGTTCTTTTAGGGAATAACTACAATGCCTTTACACAAACGCGATGAAAATAGAGCTTACGATGGCTATGGTAACAGATTCTATAAATATATCATGGGCACACCAACAGTAGGTACACCACTCCTAATTGGGACAATGACCATTAAATAACATTGATTTGACATATCAACGTTGGACCTCAATTCAGTTCCTAACGTAATTGACAATCAAATGAAGAGGATGAACCACACAAATATGTATTAAAATTTGTTGTTTGAACAGTGCTTAAAATCTATAAAAAAATATATTGTTCCATGGCTTTCAGGAACTTGCAAATAGGTATTATGAGAATTTCGATATGTGAAAGATAAGATACGATATTTTGTGAATTTGTACGCTTAGATAAGGTATTGTAGATGCATGTGGTCAGATTTTCCTAAGAACGAACTTCTTGACTTTAAATAAAATATTCTGATGCAGATTACATCTGGTTCAATTTAATTTTAATAGACAAGTCAATGTTAATCCTTAACACACTGCTGTTGAAAAAAATGTGTTGTTAATGCAAAACTGGGCTAATTGTTCCTTGATTAATAGAAAATAACCAAAGATTAGAACTGTGCTTTTAAAGTACCTACTACTAAAACACCTTTTAAAACTCATACCTACTATTCCCAAAAGAAATAATAACGCGAAGTACTTCATATTTTTATTTCAGACAAGATTCTTTTTGACGAAAAAGTAAAAGCTGTAGGTAATATGGAAAGATTTCGCAATGCAATAGATAAAATTCGTTTGAATCACGTCATAAACTGAAATATGTCGTCATGATATTAATCGATAAATCTGGTTTACTCGTAGTTTCTGTTATCACGGTAGAACACCTAGATAGGTATATTATGTAGAATTAAATGATCAATCACTTAAAACGTTTACTTAGATAAAATTTTTCATTACAAAATTGAAAATACAATAGTGAAAAACACAACTGTTTTAACTGAAACATAAATTGAAGAATAAAATTGATGATTGAACTAAATGTTTTGTTCTTAATAATGGTTTTGTTTCAATTTAAGTTTTCAACTAGGACAAACATCAAAATCTCGTCACATTCAAAACAAAAGCTTCCGAAAAACTGCAAACTGCATCCAGGGATGCCAGGGCGGGCGGATTTCAGCGTGACCGCCCTCCGCCCGCCCTCCGCCCGCCCCTAACGGGTAGCGAGACGACCCGAATATGACCTTGAAAAGAGTGACGCCGTTTCTCGTGAACTTTACCATGACACGAGGTAGACTCGCCGACATACGGCATCAATCAAGCAAAATTATGTTGAATTATTTGTACCTGATACGCGGTGCGCGATCTATTACAAACGACAAGTTAAGTTGCTGTGTAATTTCCTGAATCTTAATTGCGAATTGTTTTAGATTAAATTTAGTTATGGGAAACATTTAAAATCATTTTATTGAAGTATCATGTAAAAATTATGTTTGTTGTGACATTGCTGAAGATTATAACTTGACGATTGCTGAAAAGCTCTTGTATTGATGGTGATTTTCCCTTTTCCTTATTAACTATTTAAAAAAACGAAAATTTGAATTGATTGTTTTTGAATTTTCATAAATATTAAGAACCGAATAAGCTACAAAAAAATACATAGGTGGTATCTAGGTATAAATCATGAAAGGACAGGTCGAGTTTCAAATGCACTAGATGTACTAACTCAAAACTGTAACGCTTACAAGTGAATTGTGAATATCTCGCCAATGATACGAGATTGAGGGTTCATTAAAATATAAATGATTGGTTCTAACTCACCATTACATGCATTCCCTGGCGGCTGTTCATTGTGATGCATTGCTCGGAGCACCGTGATGCGTGTCGAGGATCGCGCCCTTTCATGTCACAAGCGAGACTGAATGTGCGAGTGAGCGTCACCGGCTGAAGCACTGACCGCCACCCTCCACCCCGCGCGCCCCGCATGCGCAGGACACACCACGAGATGCCTCGCTCCTGCTGAACACTCAACACCACCATCCACCACTCTACTAATGAATGAGTCCAATGATACACTTGTGACGCACAAAAGTCCGCGTAACTCAACACTCTAATTAAATTAACCGAAGCATTTCAAGTTTGGACATAATCTCTACCTAGACTACCCATACTTTAGAGTTGAAGTTGAAATAACACTTGTCTCCTGTATGCATTTACAAATTAGTCCAAAAGTTTCATTTATATTAAGTAAATATTTTATTAACATTGTTCAAACCAATATTCACAAGTTTATTTGACTTCTACCGAGTTCTACTTAATTTGGTCCCACGAGTTACTTAGTTCAATATTAGCTAATCTGATAAGTAAACCTCTTTGTAAAGTTTAATCAAAATCCGTCCAGTTGTGGTTACTTAAAGGAGTTACAAATATCGTAAAAAGGCGCTGTAAAAGCTTATTTGTAAAAAATAACGTTTTTTTAATCAAGTTTCATAAACTTTCGCGTCTAAAAGGGGATTCATGACTTGGATCTATCTAATCTATACTTATAATAAATCTGTAGAGAGGTCAATTCTGTACATGAAATATATTTTCAAAATAACTATCAGGGGGTGATTACTGATCGATACTGATGCCAAAAATGCAATCAGTAAAATTTTTGTCTGTCTGTCCGTCTGTATGTTCCTTATAGAAACAAAAACTACTCGACGGATTTTAACGAAACTTGGTACAATTATTCTTCATACTCCTGGGCAGGTTATAGTATACTAAGGAATTCCCACGGGAACAGGAATTAGCGGGAAAATCCTTTTGTATGAAAAATCTAAACCGCTTAAGTTAGACGCTTGAAATTTGGCATGTAGGTACCTTAGTAAACTTAAAGCTTAGTTACAACAAGGAATTCCCGAAATTCCCACGGGAACGGGAATTAGCGGGAAAATCCTTTTGTATGAAAAATCTAAACCGCTTAAGTTAGACGCTTGAAATACCTTAGTATTAAACTTAAAGCTTAGTTACAACAGGATATTGCAAAATTCCCACGGGAACGGGAGTTAGCGGGAAAAACATTTGTATGAAAAAATCTAAACCGCGTAAGATAAGATGAAGGGGGTAAAACGGGATCCACGAAAAATACTATTACTTAGCTAGTTCCAGTAAAAAAAGTAAGAGCAGAAATGCTGACATCATTTCTAAAACTAGGTACCTACTTAGGTACCTACTAAACACTATTCTAATGCGACTTTTCCTCTCTGTCCCGTGAAATCGAAACCTTACAAACCCGGGCTAACAAATACCTATACGAGAATTAATATTACGACGAAATTTTATTAAATTTAAGTGACGCCTTTCTGAGTACTTCCACTGAGCCCGCTCGTACTTGTGAACTGTTTCGTTTTCGTATTATCCATACTTCACGCAAACTCCACTTGTGACTACGAAAAATTATCAGGCGTTACATCAAACGCCCTGTAAATCTTTAAGTCCTTTAATTAACGTCAGTGCGATTAAATTATTTATTAGCATATACGTATATCATAATATACGTAATTTGCGTGCATTAATGCCCTAGGACCTAGATACACATTACCTACGTAGTCTTTGTTTTACGCGTTTAGATATCATATTACTTACGTAGAGTCCGCGTCGCATTTGACTATCATTCATAGAATGAATGTAAGTGGGGACGTTAGTATTGTTACAGCGACATTTTGTTTTAGTCACAAATAATTATGTGTAATTTAATTTAGAGTATGACGGCCAAGATATTTAAAAGGATAATTTATCGCGTTTTATCTAGTTCCTACACGATCGAGTGCATTTTACCGATAAATGCATTTTTTCTGTCATGCGGATTACGATACGCGTGCGGATTACCGCGTGCGTGTTAGCCCGCGTAAAGGGAAAACATGAAATAATTACAAAAATTCAGGCAACCTGTATGCGGACTAAATCCGCACGCGTGCCGAAACCCGCATGACAGGAAAGGCACTAACGGATGGTATAACATTGGTGTACTTATAAAAAAAAATATCTCGCAAACAAAAAAGTGTTGTTTCAGATTCGAATTTATGTTGCGGTTCAACAAAAGAACCGCCGTATTACAAAACAGCGCTGTTTTTAAAAATGGCTGGCTGTAATGTAAAACGGCGGATTATACAATCCCTCTGCGACATTTTAAGTCCTCATCCATTTCTAATCTCTAAATTACTATAAAATTACAAAATTTTAAATAAATATGAGGTACTACATACATAAATAAACATAAACATTAATATGGTTTATATTTTATTGATATAAAATTAAAAGCAACCATTATTACAGCATAGGTCATATTTTGTTACCTTCATTACATCTAGCTCTTATTACTTATAATTTATAGATAATAGTTATACCAATATATAAAGGCATGCAATGCTTTTTAAAATATGAGGATTCAATCAAAATACACTCTGGTGAAATAGAACTAACAATAAATAGTATGGCCATGCTTTTTGCAGGGGCCAATACTTTTTTATTATTACATTTTAATTTAATGAAGAAAAGCAAAATGTGATACAAGATACATAGTATACTAGTATGTGGAATCTGTATCAAACTCTCCAAACAGCTTTGCACCTATAAAGCTGTTATTATGGCATCTAAAAGCTGCCTGATTTAAGTGTCATGACTTATTCATAACAAAAAAACAAATGAACAATTTGTAATCAGAGTTATGTGTCATAAGTTTGTTCAATAACACTCATTAATATTGTGACATGCTGAGTAATTATGATGTTATTGGTAATTTTTATCATTAACTACTTATATCTAATGCTTTAAAATCCAAATATATACAGAAACATTTATGGTAAATATAATTTTTGGGCAAATACATAATCCACTCCATAAACTTATCACAAGTTATGTTTAAGGAGGTTCCAGAATAATAACATATACACAGCAGTCAAAATTTAGTAATACATAATTTTTAAGACTATATGTAAATCAATATAATAAACAGAATCTTTATATTATATCCTTTTGTTGCTTAAGCTTGCACTTTGCTTTTCTTAATAACATTGTCAGATAATTAATTGCATTAAAGCCTTTAACACAAAATTTTATAGACTAATCTAGAATATTTTTGGTTTAAAATTATAAAAACTCATATCTTTTAAGTAATAAAATAACAATCTATTAAAATGGAATATTATACTGTTAATTAACTGCTGTGTTTAACTCAATGCAAGGAAAAGGTAACAACACAATAGCTGGCAAACAGTGATAATAGTGTGTAGTGTGATATAGCAAGTTTATTTTAAAATAGAATCAATCAAGTTTTATTTTCAATCTAAAATAAACAGAGATTAGTAACCTAAATTATGTAGGGCAAGAGGCCTGCTGATACTGCACAAAACAACATTCAAGGCCTTGACTATTGTGCTGCCACCTATTAGTGAAACAATGAACAAGACTTAATCAGATGCTGAAATCTCCAAAATTTCAGTATTATAATAAAATAATTATTCTAATCTCTAATTAGCTATATCGGTTTCATGTAGCTGTAACAAACAATAGATACCTAGATACCCATTATACCAAAATTTAACTAGACATCACATGAATTTTACCAGAATTAAAAACAACACAATAATGGACATTATAACAAGCAATAGCCAAACTTATGTATCTTAGTGTATTACAAAACACTACTCTTCCACATTGTACTTAAAAGAAGTCATTGCTGGATGACGTAACTTCCTATGGCATGATAATTTTGATTACATTTTTTAGTCTTTAATATAGACGTGCAATTAAATTTCAAACATCTCACATGTGCTACAAGAAACTTGTCCAATCTTTATAGTATTTATTTTCTCTATACATTTTTACATGATAAGGATATCAAAGAAATTTACTTACAGAATAACATTATACTTCATTGTATTAACTTTATAAAAAATGAGAAACTAGTATGATGCCAGCACTAGAGGGTGTACCTAGGCCTAGCAGGCACAGTTGTCTCCATCCTTATTGCGACCATTGTCATTGGCATTAAGCTTGATGTGGTCTGGGAAGTCGTTGTACAACTCTGCTTCTGTCTCCTGGGCGAGAGCATTGCGAGCTATAGTCTGGAATGCTAGCTCCACATTCACAGCTTCTTTGGCACTCGTTTCATAGTACGGAATATCATTTTTGCTTTGACACCATTGTTGTGCACGTTTGGCAGAAACAGCACGGTTTTCCAGATCTACCTTATTGCCTAATATCACGAAAGGGAAGTTCTCAGGGTCACGAGGCGAAGCCTGGATCAGGAACTCGTCTCTCCAACTCTCCAAGGACTTGAACGTGTTGGGGGCAGTTACGTCAAACACTAAGACGCAACAATCCGCCCCACGGTAGAAAGCGACTCCCAAGGATTGAAAACGTTCCTGACCTGCAGTATCCCATATTTGCATGGTGACGATCCTATCATCGACGATTACCTCTTTCGTGAGAAAATCTGCGCCTATTGTTGCCTTGTACTGGTTGGAAAATTTCTTGTTGACAAACTGATTCATCAGCGAAGTTTTACCCACGCCACTATCTCCAAGGATGATTACCTTCAAAAGAACCTTTTTTCGTGACGACATTTTCGACTAAAATTTATAAATGTGGTAAAAATACAAAATAATCACACTCTTTGTCTGTACTCTTGACATAAAACGAAATTGATAAATGCGTCACCTGTTTGAAGTGTTGCCAATTAAAAAAAATAAACATCACTACGATGAGCTCAAATAAAATATTTTGAGCTCTATGTTTGAGCTACATAAAAAGGTAGCTCATAGCTCTATGCTTAATATAATCTATGTTTTCTTTTTTTTTTTTTTTTTTTTTTTTTTTTTTTTTTTTTTTTTTTTTTTTTTTTTTTTTCTTTTTTGGCTTTACACGGCTTGTGTGTTGCCATTCGTCGAGTAAAAACGGGGAAACGGTTAAGGAAAGAAAAATACGGAACGGAAGGATCGGACGGAGAGAAGAAAGTGATCAGGAGAGCGGATTGAGGTAGGATAAAATGACCATATTAATATACAGTAATTTANCTGGCAAGATTCACCGGTGTGTGATTGACCACATTTGTAACACCGAGGCTTTGACCTACATTGAAGCTTAGTGTGACCGAACCTACAACAATTGTAGCACTGTATGGTAGGATATACATACAAATCAACTGGCAAAGTGTTATAACACATGTAAATTCGCTTTGGCAGTATTTGACCATCAAAAGTCACCACTACAGACTGTGAGGGTTTCCAGACAGGAGAGCCATCAGTAAACGATTTAAAGTTTAGGCGTCTAACTTTGATAATATTGCCACAACCTTCAGGGACAGTGATGTTGCCAATTATTTCCTCATCAGACCACTCTTCAGGAACACCTCTTATGAGGCCCATTCTGGTCACATTGAAAGTAGGAATAAATGCTTTTAAGTTGTTTATCACTAAGCTGTCGTGTATGAGGAACAAGTTGGCATCCTCACTTTTCGAGAAGGCTATGGACATTTTATTTCGACCAATTTTTTTTAAACTGCCTTTAATAATGTTATGGAATGAATATCTTTGCAGGAGTTTTCCAAAAATGACAGGGTGCAGTGTGGTTCCAGAGTCTGGTGAATTAACTATCTTTTGTACATGGACTACATAAGGTGCAGAATCAGAATTTTTGTACATTTGGCGGCCAATAGGAGTGTGAGATGAGGTCGGTACAGCAGAAGCAATCACGGGGTTTGTCACATTATCTTTAGTGGAATCACTAATTGGAGTTTGAGCGGGGGATGATACAGCCGAGGTATTCGTAAGGTCTTTTTTAGTAAAATCAACAACTGAAGTTTTAAGATGGCGGGAATGCTTTCGGCGCCTTTTTGCAGAAATTTTAGGGGAATGCTCAGAAACAGCCGCTTGTAAAGAACTAATAGAACTATCAGTGTCCATATTACCAGATTCATTCTCCTTTTCTGACAATACAGTGACAAAACTGGCTGGCGGAGGGACGAAACCCCCCGAAGGATCGGGGGGCTCGTTCATGTTGAAAGAAATATCAAAAAAACTTACCTAAATATCANTATTAGCCGATTCATTTTCCTTTTCAGACGATACAGTAACAAAACTGGCTGGCGGAGGGACGAAACCCCCCGAAGGATCGGGGGGCTCGTTCATGTTGAAAAAAAAATATCAAAAAACTTACCTAAATATCAGCAAACTACACAAACTATATATACACACACTAGAAATAAGTAATATTTAAATAAATAAACCCTTCTGATCACGTAATATCAGTAAATAAAAAGTTTTTAAAATTAGCAATAAAAAACGCGCCCGTCACGCTCACGTTTCCCGCGCTTTTTCCATGTTTTCTTCCATTCATTCATTCGGACATTCAGTAACCAGGGTTGCCAACTCTACGTATTTTTACGTAGATCTACGTATTTTAAGCCTTCCTTGCAAACCTACGAACTTTAGTCCCAGAATCTACGTATTTTCTATCAAATTTGCAAAATAGGCTGAATGGGCATCGTTTCCTTTACTTTCGCGAAAAAGTTCGATCATGGTTCCGATCACGGTTATTTGGCATGTAGCAATGGCAAAAGTTGGAACTAGTGTTATTTGGACATTTCCCCATAGAAAAAATGCTGTACAGCGCCCCCCTGTAAATGTCACTGAAAAGCCTTGATCTGTGGGTCTAGACGGTCACAGATAAGTGCACTTTTTGATCGAATCCGTCAAAACTCCATACAAAAAAAAGGCTTTTCGACCACTTTTCGACTGGTTTGCGATTAAAATGTGCACTTTGTCTAGACCCACTGATATGAAATTTGAAATGTGACGAGACGTGACAGTGTGTGTAAACCGTCAAACGGTCAAAGTGAATCTTCACTATAAAAATATTTCGAACTAAAATTGTGCTGAGACTTCGAAGGTGTTGTTGTATTTCGATATTTTTCAACTTCCTTCCTTCTTTCCAACAAATATAATTATGTATAAATTTAATTTGTCTGAAAATGATACACATAAAAGTGTACTTTACTACTTTTAGGGTAATATTAATTGTCGTTTTATTACTTTTACCTACCCCTACTCTCTTCATTTCACTCAGAAAAAAAAGTACGTAGATCTACGTATTTTCTATATGGAAATTGTACCATTTCTACGTAATTTTCTAATCTGTCCTACGACTTTTTCAAAATCCGAGTTGGCAACACTGTCAGTAACATTCTTGGATAATCATTCATTCATTTTTATTTCATCGGTCTTTGCTGCTGACTGATTTCTTCTGTAATTTTGTGTGATTCATGATTTTTTCAGAATAATTGAGTTTGTTTTCAATATTGATACGTAAAATGGACGTTTAACATGAGAAGCGAATAGAAGTGATGACTACGTAAAATATAACGATTGTCATTTTGCTCGTTGGAGGCAAGAAATCATTGAGGTGAGGCATGAATCTAGCTTACAGAAGGTACCTCGTTCGATATGACATGGTAACTTTGTAACTTTCTTTATTTTCTAGAATGGAGAACAATTTGAGTCGAAGTGGAAGCCGATCGAGCTCTGTATGCGAGCTCGAAAAAGATTTTAGTGACATGGAAATTATGAAAAGTAGGACAAACAGACGTAACGTATTGCTTCGAACACAGCCAGCGCGGAAAGCGAAACGAGTCAGGTTTTTTCGAAATGGTGATAAATTTTACTCTGGAGTCATAATTCCGGTCTTGCCAGAACGATACAGGTGAGTAGTATTCTTCTAATCTTCTCATTGACAATAATTGTACCATTTGAGGTGAATTAGTGTGAATGAGATTACACTTTCACTTATTTATGCAGCTACCTACACAGCTGTGATCTATCACAACACAGTATATTTATTTATAATGTGTCAAATGACAGTGACAATAACCAGATTTTATCTCCCATTTTTTTATTGCATCTTTTACTAGCGAATAATCCATGACTGTTCTTCTGTTATGCTCTTATATTCGTCACTAAGATCCTACTGATTGGACTTCCACCGTGATCTCAGAAATCTACTAAGATCACACACAAACATAATATTAACAGATAAAACAAGTTTTACGATTGGCGATACATATCAATAAAATTAATTGGAACTGGCTGCCATTGAAATAAATTCTCATTAAAAAAAGCTGTGTCTGTGACTAGCAGAATGAGTTATTGCACGTGAAGCATCAATTGAGACTACTTTCTAATATGCACTTAAAGATTAATAATTAATCTAATCAATACCTACTCCTTATAAACTATGTCCCTCTAATACTTGATTCTCAGTCTCATCTTACTGTTTGAATTGTCATTATGAATGCAAATATATTTTCTTATTGGAATGTTTTTAAAACAGATAATGAATTTAAATAAATTTTTAGGTCTTTTGATAGCTTAACGGCAGATTTGACAAGGGTATTAGTGGACAATGTTACTTTGCCTAGTGGCGTGAGGACAATATACTCTCTTGAGGGTAGAAAAGTAAGTAATTGCTGTTATACACAATTTATAAATGGCTTGAGGCTGTGCCTGTGCAGTTGACATTATGTAGAGTCGACAGCACATCTGACTATACATTTTCGTTGCAAAGTCGCCCCTATCGCAACTGTGTAAGATACCACAGTGTTTAACGTTGATGTACTGTGAAAAAGTACAGGTCATAACAAAATTGATGATGACAAGTCAATGATAACCTTTTCTTAATTAAAATTAAGTTCATTGATTACAGAAAAATTTTACATGGAAAAATTTCTACTAAATATAATATTTTTTGTGTCAACCAGGTAAATCTATTGTAAACTAAACCCTTGATTAACTCATAAAATCTGCTTCCAGATAGGAAAACTCGATGATTTGGAAGATGGACAGTCATATGTTTGTAGTGGTTTTGGGGAGCCATTCAAACGGTTAGACTATGAAGCAAGTGCAGTGACACCACAGTCTTTCAGACTTAGTGGGCCTGAATCATTGAGTGATAGTGCAAGTCCGTCCCCGGCTAGAGCTAACAACAGGCTGTCCCGCTATTTGCAGGTACGTACAAAGTTCACTTTTGTAATCTTTTATTATTTTTGTATCCATTTTGTAACACTGTTATCACTAGCTAGAAATTGTTGTGAACTTGTTTCTGGAGGGAAGCAGATGATTATATTTCAGAATAGTGCTGAATTTTATCATTTCCAATAGAGAATAACCCACATCACACTGTTACAACTTAAATAAAATAATCTGCAGCAGTGTGCAAACTTGAAAGTGTTTTTTGTATTGATAACTTTTTCAATCATAACTTTAGTACATATGCTAGTTGGTAAAGAGGTTTAAAAACCAAATAGCAAATCTATCATTTCCTTTCAACCATATTAGAAATTCAATAACACACCTTCCTGATATTGTTTACCTACCTAATATGTTACATGGTTTCACTTGACCTTAGATTTGTTGTAAATTATGAGGTTCTTTAATACTCATCACCAGCCGATATATGATGTTCTATTACACCTTACATTCCCTGGTTGTATAAATCTATTTTTGGAGGCTGTTGCGTAAAATTCGTTCAGCATCCGCAAAACCAAAGGAGATCTCCAGAGCGTTTGTTGACATCGATTTTCTCTTGATAAAACCTACTCTGGTGGCATACAAACTTGCCACGTCTTGAAGAAAATTATTGTTTAGGATTCCTAATTTCGTACTTCGTGGTGATACTTACGCGTTTAAATCTACGCTACGATACATGAGGCTTTTTAGCCTAAACTTTATCCAGACAATACAAAATCAGATAATAATATATTTAGTGCTTAAGTTTCTAAAGTTCTTGTACTTTATTAGACTAATTTTTCAGGCAAATGGTAGTAGTACTACTGGCAACGGGACAGCGCGCGTTAGCCCCCCCGCTGGCGACAACGTGGTGCGGCCACGTATAGTTACTATTATTAGGAACGGTGTTAAACCTCGCAAGGTAAACCAATATGTACCACGATCGTGCTGCTTACACAACGCAACAGCGCTGTGGTTAATGACTCATTGCGGTTGATGTAATAACAACTTACTGCAGTCTACAATAATTTATCATTATCATAATTTCATTAAATAATGCATACATATTCGGAATAATATTTGGATAACATGTTGATGTACCTTTTTCCACGAAAACGGTGTAATTATATTTGCTACGTGAATTTTGCTATTTTGAACGGACACGACAATGATATCAAAAACAATTAGGAATAATCGTCTAATATGAGAAGTAATTGCGAAAAATCTTTAATAACAATACTTTTCCAACTCTAAAACAGTCTAAAACGTTCTTACAATAAATTTTCAGTAGCGTACAACAGTTTCGTTTTACCGCCTCACCTGAGCGACGTTTCCAGGTATGCCGGCTGTTACTAAACAAACGCAACAGCCCTACCTTGGAGCACGCGCTCGCCGCCATCACGGACTGCATCAAGCTGGACACGGGCTGCGTTCGCAAGGTCTTCACGCAGACCGGGTCGCCAGTCTCGGCGCTGCACCAGTTCTTCGATAACGAAGACGTGTTCTTTGCATATGGAAACGAAAGGTGATAGTTTATCAAACTTTGTAGTGAGAGATGTTGGTAATCAAGTTTTAATTTTGTTTTTTTTTTTTGTTTAGGGTAAACCAAGAAGACTTCGAATTGGAGTTCGAAGAAAGCAAAGCTGTGTTACAATGTAGAAAAACGCCTATTTCAAGAAATTCTAGGTAAGTTCAAGTAAACTAAGGGTTAGTGTCTGAGACCTGACCAGCTTCAAGGTTCTAGATACAATTTTAATTATCAAAATCAATATTGGTTTAGCAATTTCGCGATGACGTCACTAATTAACACGTTACATTCCACATGACAATGTGTGGCATTGCAGAATAAAAAAAAGGTCTCCTCCTTGCCTGGATCCCCCATTTGCCCATTGCTATTTGGCTAGAAAAGCTGGGTATGTCAATGCCTGATGATACGGGACTATTCCCAGCACCACTGCAACTCATTTGTAGCCGGGCTCTACAGCTTAACCGCCAATAAAAACCCAACCAGTAAAGGTCAAGTCTGTCCCGGGGGAAAGTTAAACTGTCTTTTGACCCGCAACGAATTTAATCAGAAGAACGTAGGAGGAGAACAATGCCTGATGATGAATGTGTGTGTCATCTTAGGGCCGGGCCCAAGCCGCGTATGCCTGTGAAGGCGGGCGGCGCAGCGCGCGCGGGCAGCGAGGCGGGCTCGGGCGCCGCGGGTGACTCCGCCGACGCCGACGCGCCGCTGTTACCGCAGCCGCTAAGACTCAAATACAGCGTTGGAAAGATCATCGGTAAGTTAATTGCTTCATAGTCCGTGTAGATATTACGGCAGACATGTACGGGCATTAAACCATTCACTATCTCGAAAAGGTAAACGCTGTGGCATCTTATGTACGTCACCGCGACTTCAAATGTTGTTCAGATATGAATACCGCATCATGTAAATTTCTTTTACATAAGTGACGTTGACGGAGTTGTGGTTCCTAAAACCAAGTATATTACGTCACATGTAATCCATCCCACACTACTCCACCACTGCAGCAATCTATTCAATTAGGAGCCCGTACACAAGTAACCACAGCAGCGTCGGGTGTACTACATCATATTATAGTATAGTAAACGCCCCATTGTCATGTTTGTAGACAGTGAATGGGTTAATATTTTATCACGCGTAATAATCTTTTATTAGTTAGTCATGAAAGCATGAGTTAGGTTGTCGACACCATCAATCAATCTTATGTATTTTTATGAGCTGCTTTTTATATCAAAATTAAATTTCTAATTTTGCAATAGGAATATCTCACGTTTTTTCCTACTCCATTGACTTTTATTGATTCAAAGTAGCAAAAATTTCAGACTCATTTCAAACTGGAGATTTATAAACAAAACTCGTTGCTCTAAAAATATAATCCAATAATGCCTAATGATTACATTGCAATTATTGAACTCTTTAATAGAAAACAAGTGTACAATTTTCAATCCGTTCTTTCGGTGATGGTTACAATTTTATACGATAAATAAAATAATATCGAAAGTATCGTGCAGATACTTTACTACATCAAATAAAATAATTGGTAGTTATTTAATGATGTTAAAATAGTAAACGATGTAAGTTCGTGTCGCCGTAAAACAGCGGAAGTTGTCTAATCCTTAATGGCTCATTATGTTACAGTTGTACCTGTACTAAATTATAACTATAAAATATCTTTCAATCCTTATCACGTCAAAAACTAGTGTAAATATTTTGTAGTTTAAACTTTCGAGCAACGTTTTTGGCTCTATTTATGATACATCATTAGTAGTTAGTGGCCTTAATAACTCGACCGGTGCGGAAGCGACTCGATCGGATTCAATGAACTGACCCCAATATAGAATATTATTTGTTATTTTTCAACAGGTGACGGCAATTTCGCTGTTGTAAGGATATGTAGAGACAAGACTTCTGGGAAGGAATACGCTCTCAAAGTTATAGACAAAGCCAAGTGCAAAGGAAAAGAATATTACGTGGAGGCTGAGGTATGTATCAATAAATTTTCCTTGTTTTTACAAAATTGTGGTCACCACAATTAGGTCATATCCTAATAGAATATTGTTCACATAGAGCGAGTTCTGTCTTATCACAATTGAACGTAATCAAATGTGATAATGAAAGATAATGCATGATTCATTTTGCCCTCAGGTCAGAGTAATGCGAAAGCTATGTCACCCTCGTATCGTATCACTAATTGAGGAACAAGATAGTCCCGAATGGTTGTTCCTTGTCATGGAACTAGTTAGTGGTATGTATGTTACATTTATTTTTTACAATGAGTGTGAATATTATCTAGAATTATAAAAATCATAGATACTTTTGTCGTGTTTTGTATCACTATTCATTAGTGCAATACCGTTATGAAGCGATCGTAAACTATCATCGTAATACTTTTGCAGCGGTGGGCGAGTGTTAACAATACATAATGCCAATTAAAACTTCTAATGTTTGGATTTGTATTGACGGGATCATCAATATTAACTGAAATCAATCATTACTAATATTATTTTGTACATTTTTAAAATCGCCCACCTTTACTTTAATATTGATCTTCCATTTTACCATTTCATTATATCAGTACCTAATGCTATTCACATTCTACTAAAATCGTTTATTTTTAGGTGGCGACTTGTTTGATAGTATCGCAGCTGCTTCCAAATTCTCAGAGCCACAAGCGCGTTTGCTAATTGGCCACCTAACATCAGCTATTGCATACCTACACTCGCTTTCTATAGTGCATCGCGACATCAAACCTGAAAACCTATTGGTAAGCGAAAGACTAACAAAAATAAAGTAAAACCTGCCCTCATTTTGGCCATCGTAACAATTTGGAAATGCATTGTTAACTTTCTACTGTCAATCCATTTACGAATAGCCAAAAATGTTAACGAATAATTTATTTATTTTTCATTTACTTTTAATATGTTCACATTATGTAAAGCAAAAGTATCGGTTCATGTTACGTATATTTACACTAATTCTTATCACTAGTGAAAGAAACACTTATTTAAAAGTATTGAGTGGGATGATGTCTTGTATATATTTGTTTACTTGGTCTTTATTAAATAAACTGTTGAATGTTTGTAACAGCGATTCTCATTAATCGTCTTCATAAACAAGACAATCGTCTTTTTAAACAAGTTTTGGAGTTGTTATTGTATAAGTATGTTATCACGACATTTATGTAATTAAAATGTGACCAATTTCTCTGATAGTGGCATTTCTTGACATTGTATAATTGATAATGATAATAAATGTTATAATAATGTTTTCCCCAGGTGGAAGTGGGTCCAGACGGCAGCATACGCGGGCTGAAGCTGGCTGACTTCGGCCTGGCCGTCGAGGTGTGCCGGCCTCTGCATGCCGTCTGCGGCACTCCCACCTACGTGGCCCCAGAGATTCTCCTCGAGACTGGATATGGACTGAAGGTTGGTGTAGTATACTTAATAATATCCCGATGACACATTCCCACTGCTGCAACTCCCGTGTTGCCTTCTAGCATGAATCCCGATGGCAACCAAATTTGGTCGATTCAGTCGTAACGATTGCTCGAAATGTTATAAACCAAAACCAATCTTATCTACAACGACAACAGCCTGTAGTAAAATAGTCACATTATTATTTATAATAATCTATCTATATACCTATATAAAAATGAAACCCGTTTCGCGTTGTCACGGCATCACGTGTGAACGGCTGAACCGATTTCGATAATTCTTTTTTTTAAATGTTTGTGGAAGTCCAAGGATGGTTCTTACGGAAAAAAATATTAAGAAAATCTCTACGCTAAGGCGGTACGAAGTTCGCCGGGTCAGCTAGTTTATAATATTTTAGCACAACATATTTACAAAAGTAGCCTATTTCCCATCACTCTGAATGAGTTTTACACACAAAGTATTTTATCTATCTTATTACATCACTCACATTATATTCCACATAGTTGTGACTTTGAAATCTCACATTTCTGAGCATCTGAGAACTGCCCATTGTTTCAATAACTACTGAACTTGAACTTCCCAGAAAGTATGAGGCCGGCACACGTAACTTTATGAGACACAAATTATTTTAGTTGTATAATAATTGTCATCCAGATCGACGTGTGGGCGGCGGGCGTGATCCTCTACATACTGCTGTGCGGTTTCCCGCCGTTCTCGTCGCCGGACGGCGATCAGGAGAAGTTGTTCGACGCGATCCTGTCGGCGCGGCTGGAGTTCCCCGCGCCGCACTGGGAGCGTGTGTCGGCGGGCGCCATCGATCTCGTGGCCAACATGCTGCGGCCCCAGCCCGAGCTTCGCTTCGCTGCTGAGGACGTGCTCGATCACGCCTGGATGGCGGTGAGTTTTTTTTTTTTATTATAGCCGTTGAAGATACCGGTTGCCAGAGAATTTTCAGCCAGTCTGAATGTAATGAAGTCGTCCGATATCGATGTTACTGAACTAAATTGTTATAGAACGGAATTCGAACGAAACTGCGTATATGCTATGTATAATATACATAATTATAAAATGAAAACTAATAAAATGTTATCTGTAATATACTTCACATTGTCTGGCTTGGTGATAAATACAAGGTATTTTTCCTAAGATACCCTGTTTTATTTTTTTTCTATTAAGTCAGAAGAATGTCTGAATTTTGATTTCGAATGACTGCTACAAGGTCAAAAAACTCTTCTTGTTTCAATTTCAAAAACAGCTCTGTGCCGTGCAATGCGTGCTGACTAGTTACTATTTGTGCTTCAGGACGACTGTTGCGACGACTGCTACGACTTCCGCACATGGTACGACGAGGACTCGTCATAGCGGGGCGCCGGGCGCGAGACGGTGTCGGCGCCCACGTGACGAGCCCGTGACGCGCGCCTACCGCGAGCAGCCTTAGCCGCCGGTGTTCTCACCGCAGCGTATGCCTTTCAACATAACACCAATACCAAAGTTTATTTAACATTACAACGTATTTACCCCAAAACGATACTACTGCATTTGTAATTCGTAAATTGTATATCTTTGGTTTTGTTCAGCGTGACCACAAATGCAATATTATAGTTATTTGTGTATTTTCGACACCTATAAATTAACGTCTCTTCTGTTCACGAAACAAAGGTTCCGATGTAGGATAACAGATTGTATACTTTAAAAGTAGCTTGTCCCATGCTCCATTAGGTTAAAAGAGCACTAAAATACCTAATAGTTTATACGGCTGCACATCTGTTTTAGTATTATTATTCCTGCTTTTTATAGTATCAGAATCAGTTGTCAGCCAATAAGTACAATAAAAGTAAAATCGTTCTTAATAATTTCAAAAGATCTCTAGAAGTTTTCATGTCTACCTATTCAGTTTTAAATTTAAATCTTAGGTTTAAACAAATTGTAATATTTATAAACAAAGTTTTTATTTTATTATAACATTCTGTAATATATGAGTAATATATCTTATTTAATTATTTGAATGAATTTGTATTTACAAGTGCAAAGCGGAAGCTTGTTAGTTTTTGTATCAAATGAAATGCTTATAGGCGTATATTCATTGCTATTGCTTGTATGTAACCATATCAGTAATTTTCTTAGTAGTATCACATCCATTAATGACCAAAAATTGGTTTGATAAATATTTGATTTTAATACATGAATGGTGCTTAAGTATAAATTTGCAGAAACATTGCTTTATGATCATTGGTAAATTAATGTAAGTGATGACTAGTTAAAGTTGGCTAGTAAGGTTAGATTGTTTAATCAATGCAAATCATTTCATCTAATTGTCACTTAATATGGTGCAATGTTATTAAAACGCAATAAAATAAGACCATGCACTATGAGACGTCGTTAAGTGCCAAAATTACATCATCAAATTTGGTAATTAGGTTTAAAAGTAGGTTGATGCGACGAAAACTGATGTTCCTCTCGAATAACGTATTTACAGCTGATTAGTTTAAAAATTATGTTAGTATTTTTGTATCATGGCTGTTCTGCAAACATGGTACGAGTGGATCTGAACAAGCCTAAATTGTCGTTTTATCAGTCATTATGTTTTCCTATGAACAAACCTTGTGTCAAAATTTATAAATTAGATGAAAAATTGTATGGTAAAAGAATTTGAAAAGCTTATTAATTTATGGTTGAGTCGAGTGCATTGTCTCATCCCTGATACCTGTATTTAGACTGACATACATTCCTTAGAATCTGTACTACTGAACTTTATAATGCACTAATATTTTTGCATAAGTAACAATGTTTTAATAAACAGTCAATTTGCTTTTGTAGCAGCTATATGCCATCATTAGACTTCAGAGAATTTGTATATCCATGTGTTTGGATGTTTTGTAAGAATAAAGTTTTTAAAATTCAAAATTTACCAAGAATAAATATTTACAAGAAACAATTTGATATCAAATTCTTTATGAGAGTGATGTACATTGAAACCAATAATTTACTAAATAGCTTGTGTAAGAAAATTTTATAAAATTGTGTGAATTATTAAAATATTTTCATACATGTGTAATGTCAAATTGGTTATTATTACTATTGTTTAAAAAATGCAAGATTATAGCACATCATACACACATGATCATTTTTAATGCATTTAGATATGGTATGTGCATTTCAATAAATGAAAGCATTAAATAAATTTTTTAAAACTATATTTTTGTTTTTATCTTATAAAATAATAATTGATCAATACCAAATTATTTTAAAACATATCCTGTTAGAAGAAATCCACTGGCTGAATTCATCATTACTTCTGGATGTGTTCTGTCTGGTAGTACCTGCAAATGATTTTATAATTAATTTCTTTTGCTAAAATAATGAGTAATATAATATGTTAGGTCATTAACTATTTTTCCATCTACCTAATATGATTTTGGAAACTATAGAAATGGTTTTGGAGAATGAATGAAAAATTGATTTTTAACCAACAACACACTAATCTACATAAAAAATAAATACATAACACACATGTATTTTGTGATATAATAATATTTGCATACATTAAAAACAAACCTGATAATTCCTCATCCAGTTGCATGTTAACTTTAATGCAGCTACATTACTTTGTGATTTCAACAATAAATATAGTTGTTGCAATGGCTCAGCAACAGCATAATAGATAGCAAATGGTCGTCCTGGTTTTACAAATTCCACTAATTCAGTGAAAATATTTTTCGGATCTTCTTTACAGGCGATGACTAAAGCATCCACCTTTTGATGAAGTAGTGAAGCAGCAGCTATATTGTCAAAGTGCCATTTAGGCTTTTTAGGTTCTGGCTTATTATCTGAATTATTGGCTACAGCTTCTGATATAGTATCTGCATCCTGGTCTGTGTTTTCCAGTCGGGGAATCTTATTCTTATGATCTGGTTCTTCATCAGCTTTTCTTTTTAAAACATTTGATTCAACATTTGAGTTATCATTAGTATCACAGCCTTGGTAAAATTGTCTCAAAGCCGAATACACATTGACAGAAATGCATCTATTAAGTTGTTCTTCTTTAAAATTCATTGCCAGCAATGCTTGTTTCTGTGACATATTACCAGGGTGCATATGAATGAGTTTCCCATTAGTTTGGGGACCGATGGCACTCATCAAGGATGCAGCTAGTAAACCATTTGATCCTGAATCATACAGAAGATAATTACCTTCTGAGTAAATGTTAGCTAAAGTATTTATTTGTGATAATGTATCAATACGAATGCCCTGGATTTTGGCTGGTTCTAACTTATACATCACCTCTGCGATTAATCTCATATTTGGTTTCAGAATTCTAATGAACTCAAAATATTTTTTTTCCTTTTTCCTAAGGTATTTCTCCTGAGAAAATTCAGTTTTCCTGTGAAAAGTATTTGAGTTTGTAATCAATGTTTCAACAATATCTGATGCTTTGTTTGAATCCACTTTCAAATCTTCTATCTCTGCAGCAGTCAATTTTTGAGATTGTCCATCATCAATAATGTTGCGATTATCATTTCCTGACGTTTTAATATCTATTTCATCTTTTAAATTCACAACTTCATTAGTTAATTCCAATACATATTCTTTACTTTTCTTGCCTCCAGAAAATATCATTTTGAATGTTGAAAAATACGGGCATCCTTCTATCCCTTTCAAGTTTATGGTATCACGACCTACTGTAATACTTAAACTTGGTTTATTAAACTTGAACAACTTTTTGTAGTTTTGTTTTTGTAAGACAATAAAGTCCCCAATACTAATAACTTCGTTAGCCATTTGGAAATCTTTCTTATTGTGTCAACTCCATGCACAGTGAATGCTCCACTCCAGCTTTTAAAATATAGACGATTAACAGATAAACGCTTTTATCATTTATTTTTGATTGAGCGAGGTTAAAAGTGCCTTGTTTTAGGTTAGGCTAGGATAAATTTTTAGGTTATGTTTACTAGTTTGACTTTTTACTTTTTCAGTCGGGCTGTCAGCAGTGCGGTCAAAAACATTAACGATATGAAATCGATAATCGTTTAAATTTCAATTGAATACAACGACAATTAATACCCGGGTTCGATCTCCACGGAACCCCGGTCCCGGTCCCGGGTTCGATTTCCACTTGCTAACTTGCAATTTGCATCAATTTAGCAAACGAAAACGATCTTTCTACATTCTTCTCATAATAAAATAGTAAAAAAAAAACATACGGGTCGAATTGAGAACCTCCTCCTTTTTTGAAGTCGGTTGAAAATCAGTTGTAGACTGTAGTATCCTACTATATTTCCTACATTATTTTCATACATTTCCTACTTTACTTTGTGGATGTTACTCACAGATGTTACTCTTTCATACAAAAAGTACGATGAATGAATTTTGATGAAACTTTACAATATTGGCTGTTTAATATAAGTTAGGACGATCTGTGCTGTGACAAGCTAAATTTCAGGCGGGCGAAGCTGTAGCGCTGTAGGTAAAAAAAACTAGTAATAAAATTGAATAAAATAAGTCAAGCCACGCTACAAGCGTATCTCTGAAAATAAGATTTTACAAAAATCTGTGCTGTCGACACTAAGATAATCCTTTGATATTAAATTTATCTAAGTGATAAGAAATATAATCTTACTTACAACACATACACAATAGCTACTTTATTGAGTAGCTATGGATTGATGCACAGATTGATGGCGCGCACATTTAGGTAGAAGGTAGAAGGAGTCAATTGATACGAAATTATTATTATTGCTTATTCCTTGGCACTTAGAAGAATTTTCTAAAGTAAAGTGATGATGAAGACTTGAGATATTTTCATAAATAAACTAAAAAAATATTCTCAGTTAATGAAGAAATTACTATAATGCCAAAAATAATAATAACTTTATAATAACTAATAATAAAATATAATTAAATGTCTTGAATCATTTTTAAAATAGTCTATTAAAAATATACTTAATTTTCAGATAATAAGTAAAAGAAAAATATTTACAAAACTAAGCAAATCAATAATAATTATGGATTTCATCTTCTATTGCCTTTGTTCATTGGTTGTGTAGGAAGTTCAGCTCTAAAATATATCAGTACAAGGATGTAGACCGTATGTTATAGAGCTATTTCTAACATTTCTTTAACTGAACAAAGTTTCTCTCTGGGTTTTCCTTTAAGTTCACCCTGCTGAACTTCATGTTTATTGATTTTCTCCCAACCATTCCAATTCACAATTTCATTATTGCTTGGTAAAGCCTTCTTTATTTCTTCAAATCCACCTTTATTGACTAAGCCATTAGAACTTTTTAAATCTTCACATATAAGTTTTGCTACATGGAAAGCATTCCCCATGGTGTGCAAAATAACACCAACTGGACCAGTTCCAAGCCAACCTGCCACATATAGATTGGCTAAATCTGTAGAATTGTCCACAGAAACACAACCTTTGTCATTTGCAACTGTGCCATGTGGTGTAAATATTAAATCGTTATCTACTTGTATACTCTTATATCCTATACTTCTAAAAGCTAAACCACAGTTAATAACTTCAACTTCCTCAGTGGGCACACAAGTTTGATTTTCTGGTTTATCTCCCATCAATTTATTACAGTTCAGTTGTACTCCAGTCAATTGTTTTTGTTCATCAATAAGAAACCTATTTGGGCTTCTGAAAAATATGGGCATGAAATACTTTTGGCTGAGGTCACCTTCATTTATCTTGTGATTTTCTTTTAATGACTTTATCATAAGTTCTGTCAGTCTTTTCCTAGGTCGACCTAAATTGGGGATGATTTCCTCAACTCCTTTAAAATCTTTTTCTCTCCATATTGTCAGGCAGTTCTTTAGTTTTAGTTGTTCTCGGAGCTCCTTGATAGTAAATGCCACCTGTAAAGGTCCTCTCCTGCCTATAAGATAAAGTTCCTTCAATTTAGATTCTGCTAATGTTTGGAGAGCATACTCAGTTATATCAGTTTTTCTTAATTCATCTATTGGACTTAGAAGTATTCTAGCAACATCTAACGCTACATTTCCTTGTCCTAGAATAGCAGCAGTTGAGTGGGATAAATCAACCTGAAAGAAAATTAAGAACACAATTAATAAAAAAATATGTATATTTATTTGCTATGCAAAATAAATAAAATGTTTGTCACCTTTAAATCTTTATCACTGGGGAGTCCATTATACCAACCAACAAAATTTCTAGCAGCAATTACATTTTTGGCATCTTCATTCTCAATGCCAAGTGTTCTATCTTCATCAGCCCCATATGCCTACAAAATCAATTAATATTAAAGTATCACCACAATATGAGATTGATGTATTAATAAAGAAAAATTAAGAAAATTGGATACTGAAGTTAATATTAATACCAATAAAACAGCATGATAATGTTGCCTCAACTGGGTCAAAGATACATCTTTCCCTAATGTCACATTTCCATAGTATTTAACATTGGGATGCTGAGCTACTTTGGTAAATTGATTGATTACATTCTTAACTTCTGGGTGATCCGGAGCTACACCATACCTGTAAAAAAACACAACTTGATTTCATCATGTTTTCTATCAACATTACATGAATACTTTTCAATAGCCCACATCACACACACCTTACAAGGCCAAAAGGCACAGGTAGTTTTTCAAGTAAGTCAACATTAACATTAGCCAAATTTTTGGTCAAATGCATAGCTGCGTAAAATCCAGCTGTCCCTGCACCAACTATACAAACACGAGGAGTGTTCTCGCCAGTTGAAAACATTCTTTTGACTACTTTTAAATGTTTCAAACTCATCTCTAACAATGTAACAATCTTATTTACAATAGATCAACAATGTTATGAATTGTTATACATAAAATTTTGCCAATATCACTATTTCACGGTTGTACTACTTAAAATGAAGATATATTTTATTAGTGTTGAACAAAATAATAAATATTAATAAAATGTAAATTATTTGTATTTCATCTTCACCGCTTTAAAACTTGTTTGTTATTTTAACGGCTGTCAGATAGCAGTGACAGCTAGCAAGCTAAAATAGTACTTTGTGTAGTGTCGTGGCTTTGTGATATCCGTGGTGCAATAGCAAAATGAATAATTTATGTAAAAGACTAGTTAAGTTATGGGGACTTGTTACCCGAGGCGCGCGTTCCTGTACCGGAACTGCATTTTGGATGCTCTATTTACAGTGCAATTTTAATTTTGTAGTGTACAGTTTGTTTACTTAAAGATAAGTCGAAAATGCCGTCTCCATAATTTCCCACTCGAAGATGACTGACTACATCTGTCAATAATTTATTTTTTAATTATCTGTTTTCAGGAGCACAGATGTCAGGAGCTGTCAACAATTTGTCAATCTTTTTTTGTGAAATGAAATAATTTTACAAATTCTTTCGTAAGATCGTAATTATTATATTCGTGTAGAAACTGTATTTTATATTTTTCTGGATAGAGAGAAACCTTTACTACCGTATTATAAGACATTCTAAAAATGTCACATGTAACAGATGTGAAATTTCTTTTTAGTAGGTTATTTTCATTAAAAAATGGGTACGTAATTTACATTTATTTGTTAAGTGCTAAAAATAAAGTGTTGAATTTTATTTTATAACTCAGTAAATTGTATGATAACTTATTCATGTCAACAGACTGAATCCATCAAGATGGGGTCTGAGAAATTTTTCTCAGGATGTGGACAAGTCAGTTGCAGGCTTACAAAAGGGCAGTGTGACTCCTTTACCTCCACTGTCAGAGCCCATGCCACACCTTCCTCCAGTATCATATTCTACAGCTAAATCTGAAGATGCACACACAGAAGTAACTGTGCTTAGTAATGGTTTAAGAGTGGCTTCTGAAAAGAAATTTGGGCAGTTCTGTACTGCAGGAGGTAATTAATAATTTACAATAGTTAATTTACACCTCAAAGCACATTAATTTTTAATAATAAGGAATTTGACTGTGTTGCAATAGCTTCATATTATTCATAACTTAAGATTTTTTATCTCAATGTTGTATGTATTATTTTTTATTTTAGTTGTTATTGATTCTGGTCCAAGATATGAAGTATCTTATCCAAATGGCATTTGTCACTTCCTTGAGAAATTGAGTTTTGGTGTAAGTATAAATCATTTTTAATTAAAGAGGATTCTTATAAAAATACAAAATTGCTATCCCAACTTTTTAACTAAATCTGCATAAAAATAAATGAATAGTTTTTAAGCTTATGACTTACTTGGAATAACTATTTACAGTATTGCATTATTTTATTGAAATTTACATTGTATGAAAACAGCATGTTGTTTTACTATGCTAAAAAAACTATTATTTACATTTTCAGGCAACACACAAATATGCAACACGTGATGTGATGCTCCGTGAGCTAGAACGACATGGTGGGATCTGTGACTGTCAAGGGTCTAGAGATACAACTGTCTATGCCACAAGTGCCGACTCCAGAGGTCTTGAGGCTGTTACACAGGTAACAAGAAGTCCAGGAATTTCAAAAAGCTACAAGTTCAAAATGTCCTTACCTGCAAATATTAATCAATTTATCATTAGGTTTTAGCAGAAGTAACATTAAGGCCTCAGCTATCAAATGAAGAAATAGAAGCAGCAAGGCAAGCTGTAGCTTTCGAGTTGGAAACTCTCGCCATGAGACCAGAACAAGAGACTATTTTGATGGACATGATACATGCTGTAAGTATTTTTGATATTACTCATCAATATTATCCCTGATTTTTTTGCATTTATCTGGAATCAGTCCCTAACGCTAAGCAGATGTATTCCTTGTTGTTTTGTTATTTTGTCCAAAGTACTCCCCAGCAGGACAACTGTCAATCACTATCTGTCCCCAATGATTTGTTCCTGTTAAAAAAATTGTTAATATTTCTTTTTGTGATTTCAGGCTGCATACAAAGGAAATACACTTGGATTGCCAAAAATATGCCCGACAGAAAATGTGTACAAAATTGACCGCAATATTATACTCAAATATTTGAAAAACCATTACTCTCCCAGTAGAATGGTTGTTGCTGCTGTTGGAGTAAGTTTGTTGATTTTTTTTTCAATTATTGACTAAAGCTAATCTGAAGAAGAATAGAAACTTTAACAATTATGATTATTTTTTAGGTAGAACATGGGCCATTTGTGGAGTTTGTCCAAAAATATTTTGTTGATATGAAACCCACATGGCACACAGAAGAGACAGAAAATTCTGCTATTGAAGTTGACAATTCTATTGCACAATATACCGGTGGCATTCAGCAGGTAATGTTTTATAAATTTTGTTGCACTTCACGCAATTCTAACGAGGTCTATTTTATTTAATTTGTATTAATTTCTGCTTTTAGGAAGAATGCGAAATTCCTCTATACCCAGGTTCTGATCTGCCTGAGTTATCTCACGTTGTTATTGGCCTAGAAAGTGAGTAATTTAATTAATTTCATCATAACATATAATATTCAGATAATTTAAGTACACTTATTTACATGATGTAATGCATATTTACCTATATTTTCAGGTTGCTCCCACGGCGACCCCGACTTCGTGGCAACTTGTGTGCTAAACATGATGATGGGAGGCGGTGGCTCCTTTTCTGCCGGTGGGCCCGGTAAAGGCATGTACACCCGTCTGTACACAAATGTGCTCAACAGGTATGTAAAAAGAACTGTAAAGACTGTTTCCTCATAGAAATACCACTCAATACACAACAAAAATTACTCTTGATGACAGTCTTTTGACATTAGCATCACCTTATTTTTCCAGATATCACTGGATGTTTAACGCGACGGCTTACAATCACGCTTATGGTGATACTGGCCTGTTCTGCGTGCATTCGGCGTCGCCACCAAATCGCATTTATGACACCACGATTGTGATTGCTAGAGAACTCGCCAATATGGCAGGAAAGGTCGGAGAAACCGAATTGAAGGTAATTTTATTGAACTTTAAAAACTTAACTTACCATAGAAGTGCATTTTTCTTAAAATATTTTTAATGTTTACAGAGAGCCAAGACCCAACTACAGTCCATGTTATTGATGAACTTAGAAGCGAGGCCTGTGGTATTCGAAGATGTCGGCCGTCAAGTCCTCGCGACGGGCAAGAGAAAGCCACCATCTTTCTTCATCAACGAAATAGGTAGGTGACCATGTTTAATTCATTAGGCGGGACATAATAATCGTCAATTCAAGCCACATTTTCACTAGGGGACATGTCGCAGAGATAAGTCGTCCGATATTCACGTAGTTTGTCTTTGCAACTTTGTCCCTCGACATATGACTTGTTCACACTAGCCAGTAGTGATAGAGCATCGACAAGCGACAAATCTCGCGACCCGTAGATGTCGCAAGCGACGTCGGGCGACATCGCGCGGGACATGAATTTCGTGTCGGGCGACAAGAGTCGCGGGAAAAATGTCTCCTAGTGAAAACGCGGCTTAAATAATAAAATTAGTTGGTCTGTGAGGGTTGCTAAACATCAGCGGGCTGGCATAGCTAAGCGTCCATTATATTCAGATAACTGTTCGGAAAATGCCGCTCAGCTTTACAGCATATAACATCCAAATACGAACAAGAACCGATAATGCGGGCTTGCTTGTATGTAGCGACCCTGAAAGCATTAAATTGGATCTTTTTGATAGTGCCAATGACGCGCGCACACTTTGTAAGTATGCCTCGTCCGCGTAGTTCCATACGTCTGGAGCGCGCGTATTTTATGGATAAAAATTATCAAAAATTCTCGTTGTTTCAGAAAAAATCACCGCCGACGACATCGTCCGAGTAGCGCGGCGCATGCTCAGCAAGCAGCCGGCCGTCGCCGCCCGCGGCAAGCTCGCGCACCTGCCCAGCTTCGAGGAGATCCAGGCCAACATATCGCTCTCCAACAGCGACGCCCCGCAGGGACGGCGGATCAATCTATTCCGCGCCTAATTATAATAATACCCTTGGGTAGCATAAATTAATTTCTATTTACACTTCGGTAATAGCCATAAATTGTTAATAAAAATAGTATTTCTTCCAACTACTGTTTTATTTTGAACCATCTTTGCCCGCGGCTTCGACCGCGTGAATTTTCATCAACATCCTTTCATTATTCTGCATGAAACAGTACCTATTAATATCCTTACAAACTTTCACGTTTATAATATTGCGTAGTAGGCTAAAATGAAAGTATTTATTTTATATTACAATTTTATTCTATTCAACATCTATAAACACTATGTACAAAGTCCATTAAAAATCATAACAGGGAAAATAAAAACGATTCACATTTTTTGTGCATTTATGATCGCGTGGACTGCGGCCGAATGCCATGTCGAATATTAAAAATTAACTAACCATGGTTGGTTAGGTGAAAATATTGTTTATCAGTCTTTACACTAGGGATAGCACCTATACAAAAAAGTGTTAGTCACAGCAAATGAAGTGTTATTTTCTAAAATGCAAGAATTTTAAAGATACAATCCACTGGATTAGTTTGCCATGGGAATGAAATGCACATAGCTTACATTATACTAATGAATAAATTCATATTAAGTAAGGGATTCAACACCAGAGCCGTTTTCTTTTTCTACATTATTAAATTATATTTGATTATTTCTGTTGAGCTAATTTAACAGCCATCTTAGCTGCCTCATCTGCATCATTTAAGATAGTAACAGGGAATCCAGATTCCTCTAAAATTTTCCTGGCAGCTGCAGAGTTGGTGCCCTCCAGCCTTATGACCATAGCATGCTTTGGTGGATTTTCTTTGCAAGCTGCTACAATCCCATTAGCAATTGTAGCACAGTTGACAATACCTGAAATGATAATAATTTTAACAGTTTAGTAATATAAATAAAAAAATATATAGCAACAGCTATCTTAATATCCTTGTGTATTTTAACTCACCAGCAAAGACATTCACAAAAATGGTTTTAACTTTAGGGTCTGACTCCAGGATTTTCAGGGCAACAGCAACTTGGGCCTGCCCAACACCACCACCCAAATCCAAGAAATTGGCTGGTCTGCCACCATTCAAATTAATCAGGTCCATGGTGGCCATGGCTAGGCCAGCACCATTGACCATGCACCCTATGCTGCCATCCATGTCAATATAGACAAGGTTTTGAGCTGCTGCATCCCTCTGAAAATTATAATTTTATCATAAGCAATTTCTTGAACTCAAAAATACCTAAAATGGCATTGATTGATATCATTATCTCTGTAAATACTCTAGCTAGTTTGAGGAGGGCTTGTTTATGACATACAACTACATAACATGATATCGGGTTAGTGATACAATACACTATCATTAAAGTTTAAGAAAGAATAAGCTATGATAACAAGGTTATTTGATAACACAAAAATATGGGACTTGATAAATGATAAGAGATTCTCTTGTCTTTACAAGATTAGTAAACATGATGATTTTAAACTTTTTTAAGTTTGTTAAAAGTTTTGATAACAGATAAAAGCAAAGAATTCAGACAAACCTCTCTAGGATCAGTTTCTGAAACATCATCAAGGGCAAATATATCAGCTTGCCTAAACTTTGCATTGTCATCGAAATTGATTTTTGCATCAACTGCTACCACTCTGCCATCATCAGTTTCAACCAGAGGATTGATTTCCAGCTGTGTTGCATCTACCTGAATCCAAATGAAATACCTATCATTAGTAACAGGATTTTTGCCCAATGCTTTAGGGTTCATTTAATAAAAATTAAATATTTACATTCTGGACAGTACCTTCATAAATAGTTGCCATAGATTTTTTATTTCTTGTGCACATTTGCTCCTCAGGGGACCCTTAAATTCTAAGAATTCTGCTATTTGATTAGCAACCTTATCAGTAACACCTTCATAAATATCAATTGGAACTGTTTTCAACAGATGAGGTGTTTCCTCTGCAACAGTTTCTATATCCATGCCACCAGCTGGTGAAGCTACTATAGCAGCACCATTGTAGCTCCTCTCCATTATTATACTTAGGTATGTTTCCCGTTTTATGTTTACACTCTCGGCCACCATGACTTTATCTACCTTTATACCATCTTTTGGTGTCTGCTTAGTAATGAGCTTATGCCCAAGCATATTCTTTGCTAGAGGTACAATTTCATCTTGTTTCTTAGTCAGATGAACACCACCTTTGAACCCGTTATCAAAGTGGCCTTTGCCTCTGCCACCGGCAAGAATTTGAGCCTTCACTACGTATTCATTGGCCTTGAAATCAGAAAGAGGTGTCGTATCTAATTTAGTATCCAGTATGCGGAAATCTTGAACAGTAACCTGATGCTTTCTTAGAAGATCTTTACTATGATACTCCTGTAGATTTAAGTTTCTCTTGATATTAACTTGTGGATGTTTCACATTGAGCACTTTAAATAATTTAAAATTCTTAAACGCAGACATAGCGAACTTTGTTCACTCGGAGAAACTAACCTTAAAAAAATAAATTATGGTAATTACTTTCACAATAAAGTTAAATTCAAATCTAGTTAAAATAAAATAATTGAAAATAACTAGAGTTACTTACAATAGTTAATTCGTAATGTTCTGAATCAAAAAGATTTTTATTTACGTTATCGCGTTTTGATAAGAGTGATGACGTCTATTTTTTTTTAATCCGACAATCAACGGAATATTTTTTTTTTAGTTTGGAAAAACAACAATTTAGCCATAACATAAGTAACTTAAATAAAAGAGCTCAACTTTCTGTCGGGTCAATAACCATTACATTATTCTACGGCATTCAATTTTTATTTTTTGTATATGGCAACATTGTGTACCACCCTGCCACTTGCGACTGCGTCCGATCAACTTCCTTTTTCTCGTGCTCTTTTGACAGAACGAGGTTAGAATTTCTATTTTGTAAATTTTGTAATTGAAGAGTACGTAATAATCTCGTGGTGTTTACTTAAATTTTAAGTTTTAAGTGATAATCTTTAGTAATATTTTCGTTTAATTGTAGGCGCCATGGCTGAAGAAAACTGGAATGATGAAATGGAAGCGGGCAGCGTGGCTGTCGAGAGCATGCCACTTCCCCAACCGGCCGACATTCCCGAAATTAAACTCTTCGGGAGATGGAGCTGCTACGACGTGCAAGTTTCGGACATGTCCCTCCAGGATTACATTTCAGTAAAAGAGAAATATGCTAAATATTTGCCACACTCTGCTGGAAGGTATGCCCACAAAAGATTCCGCAAGGCTCAATGCCCCATCGTCGAGCGTCTGACCAACTCTTTGATGATGCACGGACGCAACAATGGCAAGAAACTTATGGCTGTGCGTATTGTTAAGCACGCCTTTGAAATCATTCACTTGTTGACTGGTGAGAACCCTCTTCAAGTCCTTGTTACTGCCATAATCAACTCCGGACCCCGTGAAGACTCCACCAGGATTGGTCGTGCCGGTACAGTTCGTCGTCAAGCTGTGGATGTGTCTCCACTCCGTCGTGTGAACCAGGCCATCTGGCTGTTGTGCACAGGTGCCCGGGAAGCCGCATTCAGAAACATTAAGACAATCGCCGAGTGTGTGGCTGATGAGCTCATCAACGCTGCTAAGGGTTCATCTAACTCTTATGCCATCAAGAAGAAGGATGAGTTGGAGCGTGTCGCTAAATCCAACCGTTAATATCTATGTAGAGCTGGTCTCAATAAAAAAATATCCAAATTTATGTGTTTTATTTTATATCTAATACCTTTCCATTGTTTTGTAATTCTTGATTTCATAAAGTAGGTACACAAGTTAATAAATTACATATTGAATATAACTTGACTAGCTAACTACTATTTAATTTTTAACTTGAGTTTTTGAAAGAGCCTAGAAACAAGCATTCTTTTCTGTTTTACTTCTCACATTCATTTTAGTTTCAAAGACTTATTTATTAAAATAAGTCATACAATTTCTTAATTTGCTAGTGCACACAATACATAATGTAACATAATATTCAAGGATTTAGTTGTGGGTTCGAGTCCTGCATGGTATTTTTAACACCCAAGCTTTTGAAACTCAGATTGAAAGATATGGTCATTGATGAGTTAAAAAAACACAAAAGGTAGTAAGTAGGTATTCTATTTATACTTGTGCATACATTTGATTTGATTTACACCATCATAAATAATATAATATTATAATCTCCACTGAGAAAGTACAATGGCCATGTTGGCCAGACGGGTTGAATTTATTATCATTATGCACAAAATGGCGTATTGGCGTAGCGTGCCCTGTACTTTTCATCTGATTGGGCGCTTTTCATCTAGAAAAAGGTCATCGCAAACAAGAAGAGCATCTAAGAATCCGTTCAATGAACAGTGTTCATAGGTGATAGGGCCCTAGGTACCCTGCCTGAAGGGAACCCGTCCGTACGGTCCGTATCATTCAGTCATAAGTGCTACCGAAGCACGGAATTTTATTTATTTTATCCTTATTCAACTGCATATGATATGCACAAAAAGATTTTACACTACTTGATATTCTAGGAATCGAACCCAGAACTTCGAGTCAAGACTGTCGAAAGTGGTCAAGAGTCTGTTTCTCTGAGGTCATGAAAACGGGAGGTAGACCTGGTTCTAAAGCACCAGGCTTAATTTCAGTTAACTGAACAATGCTGAGGAAGAATGGATTCTGGAGACATTACATGGTAGGAACTGTAATCCTGGTTCCTGAAAAAATGCTGGTCAGCGGTAGCGGCTAAATAGCTACAATTCAGATAGAAAAAGAAGATAGAACTCTATGGTTGTTTATGACGTGGAATGTCACTCAATGTTGATAGTTGTCATTAACGTCAAAATTGTGTATCAAATCTGGATCAGCTGTAAATTGGTGTTAACTTGAAATAACTTAAAATATCATTATATTTTATAACCTCGGACAGGTACCTTGAAGAAATGATCCACAGCTTATTTATAATAAATCCTGCTGGGTGAGTAAACCTTGTTAATCAATTTTTCTTTTCCCGCGGCCCTGCAACCATAAAACATCCACAAATTGAAATTAGTTTGTCTTAAGATTAAGAAGGATACTATCTGATACTATTAATTACATTCGTCCTAGAAATAAACGTAGCCTAAAGTCTCATCAGTGTGCACGTAAGTATGTTGGTGAACACTAATTTAGTTAAACTTTTCACAGATATCTGTGAGAAGGCTTATAATAATATGTAGAGATTACTCTCTTACAAATATAGGAAACAACTTTATATTATTATTATTGAATAAGTGTTTTAAGTAGGTAATTATATTAGTAATACATCATTTTGGTTTCAGTGATGTGTTTTTGGAGAAGCACTGGCGTAGTGTAATTCCAAGATCTGTCTGTGATTATTACTTGGAAGCACAACGGGCATCTCCTAATGTGAGTAGTAATAATTTGTTGTTAATGCAGACTCATAATAATTAAATAATTTGTTTTCCATAGTGCATAGTAGTACCTAATGCTATTAGATTACTGTAAAACAAATGAAACAATAATAAATATGGATTATTTTGATTAAATGCTCTTGTTTTATTATTCCAGGATGTGCCTCCTGTGCTGGCTGCGCCACATCATTACTTGATATCCATCCAGAGGGGAGGTGTGGCCCTCGTGGCCGTATGCAAGCAAGAGGTGGCACCTCTATTTGTTATTGAATTTTTGCATAGGGTTGTTGATACATTCAAGGTAAGTTATACATTTATTGGGTTGTTGGCTTGTTATTTACCAAAATCATTATGTTTTTACAATTTTTTTTTGTTTTCAGGACTATTTCTCAGATTGTACAGAAACCATTATAAAAGAAAACTATGTTGTAGTATATGAGGTAAGTAAATATATTTTTAAAGTTAAGGTAATATCCAGTGGGAAATAATTCACCATTTCTTTTTACTATTGTGTGCATTTGTTTCAGTTGCTAGATGAAATGTTAGATAATGGTTTTCCACTGGCAACAGAGAGTAATATTCTGAAAGAGTTGATAAAACCACCTAATATTTTGAGGACCATTGCAAACACAGTTACTGGCAAATCCAAGTAAGTATTACTTAATTCTACAAAGCTTTTTTTACTAACTACAAAATTTTATATAAAATTAACTAATTCAATTTCTTTTTTCCTAGTGTGTCTTCAATATTACCAATTGGCCAGCTGTCCAATGTGCCTTGGAGGAGATCCGGTGTGAAGTATGCTAACAACGAAGCATACTTTGATGTAGTAGAGGAGGTAGATGCGATCATAGACAAAAGTGGCGCAACTGTTTCTGCTGAGATACAGGGATATGTAAGATAATAATTTTCAAAATTTTGACAAAAGCATGAAATTCATAATTTATTTGGGTTATTTGTAACTTCTTTTGGATCTTTTGTCATATAATATTTCTTTACCAATGCTTTCAGATTGACTGCTGCATTAAATTGAGTGGAATGCCTGATCTGACTCTAACTTTCGTAAATCCACGATTATTTGATGATGTTTCATTCCATCCATGTGTAAGATTCAAACGCTGGGAGGTAAGCTAATATAATTTATGAAATTAATGAAATTTTATATTAATATAATAAAAAAATACACTTAGGTTGGGTTGCACCATCTTACTTTAATTTTAACAACAACTATACACAAAAACACTGGTTATAGTCACAGTTAAAATAAGGTGGTGCAACTCACACAGTCAGTGTAATCATATAGAAACATTGTAAACTTTTTATTGTTGTAAAGAATTAACGCAGACAATGAAAAACAAAGATGAATAAAATATATTTTTATAATTGTATATGTTAAAACTGTATTTTTATCTATTTGCAGTCTGAGAGGATATTGTCGTTCATACCGCCCGACGGTAACTTCCGACTAATGTCGTACCACATCGGCTCCCAGAGCGTGGTAGCGATCCCCATCTACGTCCGGCACAACCTCTCGCTCAGGTCGAACGGCGACCAGGGCCGGCTAGACTTGACCGTGGGACCTAAACAGACTATGGGCCGGACATTAGAAAGTAAGTTACAATTTAGTTTTCAGCATTATTTTAACCAGCAGCAGTCTAATACTGTTTTAGCCTCACATGAGTAGAATAGTATTGAATGAAAAGTATACCACATTTACATAATTTGAAAATCCTGTTCAGTTTAATTATGATCGCTGTTAAGCCTTATATCATTCAATAATGAATTTTCTGTCATGCTATAATTTTTTGTACTTGGATATTGTGTTTTAAATGTGTTTTTTATTTCTCCTTGCAGATGTAGCGTTAGAAATATGTATGCCAAAATGTGTTCTAAACTGCTCTCTGACTGCAAATCAAGGCAAATATTCGTATGACCCCGTGAGCAAGGTTCTGCTCTGGGATATCGGGCGAATCGAATTGCCAAAGCTGCCAAACATTAGAGGAAACGTAAGTTAATTGTTTATATTCATATTATTAAGGAGACATTTTTTTACTTTGATTTAGCATTATATTTTCTGGAAAGCATTTTAGTGCGATGCGATAGGCCCAGAACAGACGGTGAAACGCAACTGCAACGAAACTGCAACTGCTAGTTACTTTTGAGTTGCATCTAAGTTTCTGCCATAGCGTCCGTTGAGAGACCACACATGACGCGACCAGTTTGAAACTTTCAGTTTCAGTTTTATTCATCAGAATCATCACAAAGTTCCAGTTTCGTTGCAGTTGCGTTCACCACACCGTCTGTTCTGGGCCATAGCCTTTCATTATGACCTAAGTTGGTGTTAAGCATATTCAATGACATTAAACGAAACACTTATCTTAGCTATAATACGCATATTATACTAGTGTCAATATAAATGGCAATATTTAAATATTTTCCTCTAGTTCCACTATAAATATTGTCGATCATGTTACTCACTGAATATATCTGATAGGAAGGGTCAAAATACCCTACGTCCCGTACGATTACTGCGCATTTTGCGATGCATTTATCTGACGCGGAAAACGCTAGCTTCCGCATCAATGACATAGTGCGATATTGCCTCGGATATTCCATGTAGTGTCGGGTGACATGTCCGGCGACATATCGCTAGATATGTGTCTCCAAGGTGGTACAAGGGCCCAACTTGTTTTATGTTTATAGGTTTCCGTAGCGTCCGGCGCTGACACGAGTGGCGCGAACCCGAGTATCAATGTCCACTTCACGATTCCGCAACTGGCTGTCAGCGGGCTGCGCGTGAGTCGCCTGGACATGTACGGAGCCAAGTACAAGCCCTTCAAGGGGGTGAAATACATCACTAAAGCGGGCAAGTTCCATGTGAGGATGTGATGGGAGGCGCGCCACCCTATATGGGACTGTCCTGATCTATAACGATGAAATCAGAACAAAGCGTGATACGGCCAAAGACTTCTATGTTCTACTAGATAGGACGTCCAGTACCTCTAGTAGGAAAAACTTTCGAGTTCGTTTCGTTGCGTATTCAAAGTGTCATCGAAAAATTTTGTATGAAAAATTAAACAGCGCCCCCTATATTATAGCCGCCCTAGGGGGCGCTGTTTAATTTTTCATACAAAATTTTTCGATGGCACTTTGAATACGCAACGAAACGAACTCGAAAGTTTTTCCTACTAGAGGTACTGAACTGAAATATCTCACTTTGTGACACTTATCAACAACTAATTTAGTCGATTGCGAGCGAGAGAATCGGATGCTGCGAGACTTGCAAAAGTGGTGGTTGATAAACTAACACTCATATCGTTTAACGAGATCGATAAAAAACGTAACCAGCGCATACTGGTGATACTTATTTTATTATGAACTGCTTGTCTAGTAGTAAGCTTAAAGCTAGAAGTTTTTGGGTGCAGCAAAGACTTTGATTTTAATATTGAGGTAGTGAATATGATATGTGTTTACTGATGTCGCAAATTCGTGTCGTGATGGAATATTTTGATGTTGTTTGGATGTCTAAGTATCGTTTGCGAATTGCGATTATGATATTTCTTAAGATCTTTGAAGTTTTATCTCATAAGATGATGAATCTTCTAGCTGTCTGAAAAAAAACACTTGTAACCAATTCCGGTATAGGACTGTATTCATACAGTCTGTGGTATTTTAAATCACTAATGAAGAGACAGTTCATAATGCTGTTAATCCATAGTTTTTGTATGGTGTCAAGCACCGTACAAGGCGAATAATGAAAATTCAAAGTCCTGGATGGCGACTGCAATCGGAAAAATGTATTTTATAGAATCAATTACATAAATTTTCTCGTATAATTTATTAAATAATAAATCTCTCCGTGATCTCGGACCCTATATTTTTAGCAAACGTAATCTATTTTCCTGTATGTTAAGTTTGTTAATATGTCAATTCCATAATATAATTGTTAGCTGTTTCGCTTTAATACATTATTAATGTCACATGATAACTTATGACGAGTGTAGGATATAAAAATTATAATATACTTAGGTAGGTAATTATTAAGCGTAGTTATGAGGAAAACCATAATGACGAATAATTTACTCGTGCATAAAAGTTTAATTAAGCCTGTAATTGCACACAAGTTTTCTGGCTAGGAAGTTTAATCAGACTTGTGTTATAGATAAAATATAAAAATATTAACATGGATGTCAAAAGAAAGTTACTCGTTTTTGTGTGTTAACTAGCCAGTAATTTGTCTTGTTACTCGCAGTTTGAAATGTAAATATGCTCAATGCACTATTCAATTTGTTTATATTGTTATAAAAATAAACATATTTCTTATTGTATCATATGGTCTTTTTATTTACATAAAACATAATTAGCTGCATTACACTTGTTTAGTTTGTTTAAATAATTTTTCGTTGTGTGCCTTGTACGAAGCGAGCTCGCGTCGCAAAGCGTCCAACTCGGCCTCTATGCCGCTGCAGGCGACGGTGGTCGAGTGTTTGTCGCGGAAGTAGCGCTGCACTAGCACCGACATTAAAGCTGGGTACTCCTTTTGCAAACTTGCCTCGAGATCACGTTCCTGAATTATAAAAATATTGATATAGCCTAAATAACTCTGATGTCAACTGTGTAGTTGGACATGCGGGTCCATTTGCTAGGCAAATAATTTGCGGCAGAATATTTGCCTCCTATGCTTTATAAAAATGCATATAATTCACAGACTGAATTATCATAGGAACTGACTGTTTACTTCTAAATCTTCTACGAGTAATTAGCCAATAGGTTCGAAACTGTCTCGTGTAGGTTTCATTAATTTATGAAATTAACGCCCTTATTCACAAACACTACTATGAGGTCTTACAGTGCGCGTGGACGCATAGGGTGACACACGAACCAATCGCAGAGCTAGAGCTCTGACTTGAATAGATTCAACGCTGTGCGTTCGATTTGCTGTTTCACTTAGGCAAGCATCGTTTGTAAATACGGGTAAATCTTATCACAATTATATTTTATAAGAGTAACCAGAGAAAACTATAAACTTGAGGATGTAGTAGTACGAAGGTAGTAAATAAAATATGAACCGTATAACAGCAGTACGAGAGCGACCAGCGCGCAGCAAGTCCTTGCGGCTTGCCCATCTTGGCTCGGATCCACTCCACCACGTTGCCCATGCCCGATGCGGTTGGGATCATGTTGAATGGGGACGGGAGCGTGGTCTGCAGCATGTAGTCGATGTACACCTGGGAAAATTGGCGAAGTAAGGGTAACACTTTGCCCTATCACAGCTACGAAGACACGGAGTGTTCTTTAGTATTTTAGGTATCCATTTCGTATTGCGCATAGAGGTGTAAATGCCCTCAACTTGCATAACAACTTACATAATCATTATCAGGCCGGTTAATCCCTTATATCTTGAACAATCATGGAGGTTGTTTCCTTAATACCAAGAACTATTACTTTACAGTTCTGAGCTTCATGAATATACATTTCTTAGTATTTTACGCAAATGCAATCACACAGGGTGGTCTGCCTATATTGATTTGAATAACGACAGTGCGACCAGGTCTGGGCTTAGTCTAGCTATTCCAGAATTTGTCTAACGATTTACGTTTACGACTGACGTGACCAGAGTATACCAGACAATATTATTGGGAATGTATCATAAACATTGATTAAGCAATTAAAGTTCCACGATTCCGTTAAAGTTGCAATTAAATGTAGGCGTTAAACGTGGGATGGTGGGAATACAAAGTAACGGAACGCGCAGGTCAATCAGGATTCAGGATGCAAATTCACTATTGCTTAATGGCGGACGTCGGAATGTAAATAGATTCCAGCCGCCATCGATATGTTAACACGTGCCTTTAGTCGGGGATTGCAATATGTTAAACTAATTAGGAAACACAATTTCATATGCTACCTTAATTAACAAGTTCCGGCACCTAATCTTAATCGGACCAAAATGACTACAAGCCACATTTACTGTTATGGTAGGTACATAATTTAATCTGCTAGACTCACAAGACGGGTAGGTACGGTACCTACAATAAGAGAGCAATAGAACATGCGATTTAGAATTTAATTCATTAAAAAAGTTTTAAAACTTTAGGGGGATAGCGTCGTATCTGAGAAGTACTTAAATGATGAAAAACTGGAAATATCCTCTGAAAAAGATCGCTCTCTGCGATAGGACCAGTTACATTATTCCGCTACAATCTTTATCAGTTTTGTGTACCTAATTACATTTTCTGTAGAATTGAAAGATGAAAAATGTAGAGTTTGCAAACTAGATATCTTATAACTAACGTCACGGAAAGCAACCTCTTCTGATCTGAAGCAATTATTAGATTATTAGATCTAGATCTATTTAATAGTAGGTAAATAAATGAGACGAGCAAGTTGGTTCTCTATTTTGTTTGGATTTATTTTCCTGGTATAGATATTAGAAAGACCTGTAGACCTGAAGACTCGAGCCACTGATTAATACTTAAAAGGTTAGTGGTTCCGTGTAACTAGCTACTCGACGGGCACTTTACTAGTACTTAACTGTGTTCCTTTCCAGATTTATAGCGTAAGGATCTTCGAAAGTTCATAAAATAAGCACCATAGTGCTTAAACCTGTCTACAGCACTTATATCTGAAGCCTGATGCAGGAAGAAGGCAGCATTGGAATCTCGTATAAATAATTGCGATATAAATTATAACAGCACAAGACAAGCACGATTTTAGTCGGGCGAGGCGAGTGGAAGTGTTCGTATTTGCCGTGTATGGAGAGGCACAAATCATTTTGTGTCCGCAATACCGTGCTCTCACGGGCCGGCCTTAAGGCCGAACCCACCTCCTGCAATAAACCTGCGATGGTCGTTTGCACATGTGCCGATTATCTTGTATGGTGGTCTTCGAGAGATGTCAACTGACCCACAATAGATTATCATAGATAGTGAATGAAAGAATGTTAAATATATACTTTATACGGTGTCCTAAAGTTACCTAAATACAAGAAAATTATTTCATAAAAGAAAACAAAAAACTTTTACTCACTTCAGTTCTCCCAAATGTCCACTCGATAGCGACGTTGTCGTTGATTCTTTGGAATGTATTCGACATGGTGGCAATGAGCATATTTAGCACGATTATTACGGATATTACTTCAAAACCTGCAATATGTATAATTCATAAATTATAGGTTTGAATTAAATAATATGGCAATTCATTAAAATAAAAATTAAATGTTGCTACACACATCCAAAACAGAAGTATCCTATGAGTTCCGTATATCCGTGCCGATTTTCCTGAAACTTGTCGAATGTTTTCGAGTTTTTCGTGTTCGTCAACACAACATCTGCACTCTCCAGGGGAGCCATACAAAATAGACCCCAGAATAAAGTCTTTAAAGTGTCGGACAAACTCGTGAACGAAGATACCTGTAGAGACAAAAACCATAACCTTTTAGCAGTAACCTTTCCGCACCATTATTCATTTTATACATTGATACCTCAATTTTGTTACCTGCACAGTTTTCACACCGAACTCGTCCTCATAAACCATCCCATCGTAATATTGATAAAATCGAGCGAGTCCAGCAGCAAATGCACTTATGATAATTGTGAACACTATCGCATATTTGTAAATGTCAATGGTCATCTTCCCTAAAGATACCTGTAATGGAAAATACCTAATAAGATAGAGACCCACTTCGCATTAACTATTTTCTCGTATTAGCGAGAAGACCTTTAAAAAAGGTTCATTTCGCCAATTACAAATAGGTAATTGTCAAAAATACTTTTTTACAGTTATGTTCAAAGTTAGAGTAAGTATATTTTTTCATAACCACGATTTTAGTTTCTCTGGAAAATGCATCACGTTTAGTTAAGGGCAGTGAGTGTGCTAATTAGCACAATCTTAATGGACCGTTTTAACGGCGTGTCGAATGAATTATAAAATCAGTGTAGGATGTTTTCCGAGAACTTTATCGTAACTTAAATTCCATTCCATGTAGTTTCAACACGTCCATTATCATTTTCTCTTAATAAAAATAAATGTTATTCTGTTCTAAGTTGCTTCTGAGATGTAATGCGTGTTTTAATGTTTCTATTAAGTAGAAAGTTAAAGTTGAAGATTTACTCGTATGTGTAATTTGTATTTATTTACATTATTAGTAACTCTGGCCCATTTTAGGAAGCCCACGCGTGTGCATATTAAAGTAACTACGTAGTAAACGCGTCGAATACTCCGGAGCTAGTACAATGCTAAGTAACGCAGCAGAGCCGCCTACCATATTCTCTAACGAGAGCGTTCTTACAAGCAGCCGATGCGGCATTGAAATGCTAATGTGCATACCTGGAGCGGCCCTAGATGGTAGTTCAGTTGGCACAAAAACAAGAGTCGGAAATAAGCGAATATTGTTGCCAGGCAGAACGTGCCCTCCGCGAGCAGCGTCGGTTCGTGTTGTTCCCAATACTTGCGCTCTGTGAAAACGCGCGAACGCTATTAATATCCGTTAAGATATTTCACAAATAATATGAACCTGCATTTTACTGCCTTTGGTAGGCTTAATCGTGTTTCTGCTTGTCACAATTCGGATATTTATTTCACACTTATTGCACAGGAATAAAATCGTAATTATGGCGAACTTAATGCCATAGGAAATTCTCAACATAAAACATAAGCACCTTAACCGTTTAAAGTTCTTAGAAACTTACTAATAGGAAACTGACAGGTTTTAAGATACCTATCACCTGTCTGAAGTAGGAGGAGGTGTCTAGTCATACTCGTATTATAGGTATTTCATAGTATAAACTAGCCCAGCATTAAAGTAATGCTGTACTTACTTAAGTAATTATGGAAGAAAAGTACCCACCTAAATCATTCGTAGAATTTGCGACATCGATGGCAGCGGCAACCCACAATGCAAAGGTCAGGCCAAATAGCAAGAGCATGATGATTTCTGCCCAGTTCCACAGCTCCGTAAAATACCTCTGGGGACCTTGCATTAGGCACATGCGAACCGCCGACCAAGTGTAGCCACACACGTACAAGATTAGGGGCGCTTCTGCACCTGTGAACGGGGTTTCAGAGACGCAGTCCTATAAAGGTGTAGAGCTAGGTCATCGATGAAGTGACAAGCTGATATTAAGAAAATAACGCCTAGTAGAGACAATATCCTAGACTTTGATTATGTTTAGGAAAACTAAAACTCTACCTATTACCTGTCCTACTGGCATACTACTGGCATCGTCTGAAAATTTATTTGATTAGGTGTGTACTACAGTTGAAAAACAGATGTATTTTTTACAATAGTCGTATTTATTAGTCCTATGTATGTTAACCCGACAGGAATCGAGACCGACTGCTAAAGTAGCAGACGAAATCTACGCCACTAAGAAAGACATAACCGTCCAAATATACGAGCTTTAGCGCTTTCCCCTAATGATACCAGTTAGTATTGACCAGTGGGGTCACATCCTTCCTCCTTTCTAGAAATACATTAATACATTCTTAGACAAGCATTTTTGAGCTTTATTATTGCTAATTGAAACGCAAATGAAGTTTCTTAATCTTTGAAAATTTGGGTAAAAATTCCAAGATCTTACGAGATAAGCGATTCTTTTAATTTGGTGAAAATAACACGTGCTAAAATGATGTTTTCGCTACTGGATCATCAAGATTAATTGATGCAATCACGTCAACGAATCTCATCAGAACCACCATCGGATACTTAAATAATAAAGCGCGAACCTGTATCCGGCGGCCCTCGTTTCTGTTCGGTTTTATCTTGATTGGAGATGTGGAAGACCAGAGCTAGGAAAACGATATACGCTGACGCATGAGTAATAAGTTTGTTCAACGGGATCTGCCAGTGCCTAACGAGCCAATGCCGCGGGAGTACCTGTAGGTAAACACTCTGATTAGACGAACACTAAACATCAATAGCTGTAAATACTGGTACTAAATGGCAACTTAGGGTTTGTTTACATACCATTGACATAAAAACAATGATGGGGGTCATGAATATACGGCTGAAAACGATCAAACCCTTTGCTAAAATTGATTTTGTCGGCCAACTATACCAATCGCCAATCCAGTAGGACTCTAGGACCTGAAAAATTTAACCCGGCATTGACATGAGAACTTCATTCACTGTGTGCTTGGATAATATTAGCTTCTCTATTAGTAACAGTAATATAATAATAGTATTTTTTTTAAATGTGCTGTAACTAATAAATACTACCATTATAAAGAATTTCGGGTAGAGTTGGTTGTAAGAAATTTTATGTGTAAAATTATTTTCTTAAATTAGAAAGTATCGAAAAATATAAATTAACCTGCTGCGTATTTGGGTGTGCGACGAATTCCTTCTGTTTGTAATTAACAGCCATCAATAAGCGCGGCAGCACGAAGTGCCGCTGCCCGCGACAACCTGCCGTTTGCTTTAAAATCAGCTCGACTTCTTCAGAAGTGCGACAACAGCCTGAAAACGTGTACATCATTCAACATTCAGTTAATCAAATGAAATTTTCCTTATAATAATAATTGAGAATAATTTCTGATAAAGTTTCACAATGAAACGGTAACGGAGTCCAACTCAATGACAGTGGAGTGTGATCTACAAAAAAGTGCAAAGCTGTGATGGTAGTGTCACCTATAAGGTCAACAGCGAAAGCGCTGACGTCACTTCTGAGTTGTAAGTAGGCTGCAGCTAACTGCCTGTGCGCTGCTGCGTTTTCTGTCAGCTCAGCCGCCATCCGTAGTGCGGTCAGGATGGGATCGGGAGACATTTGCACGATATACGCGGGGGAAGAGATGGCCCGGTACACGGACAGGCGAGTCATGCTTGCGAAAAGGGGATCTTCGTTGATTAGAGAGTTCCTAAAAATAAAATAGAACCATAGTAGAAATAAGATTACATCGTGTCATTATGTATACCTTTATTATCAACCTACTTGCAGCTTGCACAAAAACAGCTAGGAGGATGTGGTCGGGCGATTGAGTGACCACGAGAGACAAGCAATTCAATAATTTCGTAGTGACCCAGTTGAGCCGCTAACAATAGTGGCGTCACGTGTTCGGGAAACTCCGTGGAGTGGGTAGCTCCAGCAAACTCCAAACCAGGCGATATCTTCTTCTGAGCATCCAACAACATCACTGCACGGGAATTAAAATAATTATTTTATGCAAACACGCGAAGTGAAATCGAGATCAAAAGGCTAATTACCCAAAATGCCAATATTGTTATCTCTTATGGCATGCAATACAGTATCACCAATTTCAATATGAGGTTGCTTTAGCAAGAATGAGACCATTGAATCTGACCGATTTCGTACTGCTATGTGAAGCGCCGAAATGCCCTGCATACATAATTAAAATAAAATGTAACCAAACAAAGACAATTTTAAAGGTACTGTTCTCAAAATCAAAACAAATATGACTAACCTGAAAGTTAATGCAATTAATATTTAATTTAGTGTGCTCCTGGAGAAAATTTTGTACGCGGTCTATATCATTATCAGCAACTAATTGGAATAATTGGATTTCACTTGACTGCAACTTTGGCAGATGTATTTTATGTTTTTCGTCGAATTCTTCATTTAACTGGAATTATTATTTCAGTACTTTTAACACACTTATTTTACAACAATAATTGACAAGATTATACTGGTACTTATTTAAAAACAGCTTACATTTATCGACTCTGTTGGACGAGTCTTCGATTTATATTTATTGCTTCTACATTTTATATCAACATTCCGTTTAGGTACTCTAGTAGGGAATGAATTTTCTTCAGCTACGCTTTGGTAGTAAGTTTGAATCTGAAAAAATAATCTTCAGATATGCTTCAAGTTAAGTAGATCGTGATGATATAAAAAAATAAAGAATTATGCTTCATAATAGAAGAGTAAGTTTATAAATCTCATACAGCTTTGGGTTGACAAAGTTACAGTATTTCATGCAATTTCAGACAAAGAATCAAATGTTGCTCAGCAGTCAAAACGATGGAAATGAGGTTACGGAAATAGAGTGCGCTAGAAGATACCCATGAAATAGTTTTGTACAAGTTTTGTAATAGAAAAACATCAGATTGTTGTTTTATGTCCCATTTATAGACTTGGTGCATTTTCCAAATGTAATTTGCATTAAATAATATTGTAAAAGGAATGTTTTATTTGAACTATAAAAAATACATTTAAGAAAGAATGAGGTTAAAATTCGGTGGGCGAGTGTTTCCAACGTTGCTTACCGTTTGTTTCTCGTTTTGGAAGCGATTACCTCTTTCTTTTGGAATACTCGGCAAACTTATGTTTTGGATGGAATCCGTTTGATTCGACTTTGATGATCTCACGTCTCTGTCACGAGAGAACATTCTGTGGAAAATTTAGGCTATTAGTAGAACAGGCGGAATAATAATAGGCTGTATTTATAATACAGGTTCATCGCAAGTACTGATACTCTATGCCTGGAGATTTGAACAGCGCTAAGCGCTACGAGTTTTATTCTAATATATTCTTTAGAATAATTAAACTAAGCTGCTTACCTCTTTTGCACATCTAAGTCTCGTGTACTTAATATTAATGATCTCGTTTTAATGATAAATTATTTTACGTGGATTTAATATTTATTGGTTGTTGTTGTTGTGATATTTCCATCTATCAATCATTTGGTTTGACAGAAACAGAGAGTATACCTATATTCGTTGTTTATAAAAACCATAGTTTCAGCCATTTCCTAGCATGACCTATCCTTTAGATTTCAGACGATTTCAGATAGTCTAGACATAGTGCAAATTATAATCGCAAACCAGTCGAAAAGTGGTCGAAAAGTCCCTTCTTTGTATGGAGTTTTGACGGATTCGATTTTCGATTCGATCAAAAAGTGCGTTTTGTCTAAACTCTCAGGTGTAAGGTTTCTTTAATGAGTAACAACCATGGTAACAACTAGTATAATCTAAAATTAGTTTTTATTCATAAATATTTTTAAAAATACATTTCTAAAATAACTATACGAGTAAATCACAACAAGTAGTCGACCAATACAATAACTAAGAGTACCTATAACCTAATTATTCGTTGTTTATAAAAACCATAGTTTCAGCCATTTCCTAGCATGACCTATCCTTTAGATTTCAGACGATTTCAGGTGTAAGGTTTCTTTAATGAGTAACAACTAGTATAATCTAAAATTAGTTTTTATTCATAAATATTTTTTAAAAATACATTTCTAAAATAACTATACGAGTAAATCACAACAAGTAGTCGACCAATACAATAACTAGAGTACCTATAACCTATGTCTTCTACGAGCTAAGCTTAAGGTAGGTATATGAATGATACCAATAATACCTACTTAATATTATTTCAAAGCTAAAATGATGAAAGTATATTTCATCGTTGTACGCTATGTGTATTTTTATTTGTCGTTGTACATAGTGTAAAGAAGTGCAAAGTAGGAATAAGATCTCGTCAGGATCTGTAAAGAAGAAAGTTCACGGTAATGTTATGTTTCGTTAACAATATGTAACTATTGTTGTTTTAAATTATATTTACCGATGAATAGGTCACTAAAGATATATCCGTGAAACCCATCGCTGTAAATGCGATTGGTTTTTGTGCTCTGAAAAATAGTTTGATTGATCAATATCAGTGTCTGATGATCTAGATGTCAATATTAAAGAATCATCAATTAACTACAGTTATTAACTTTAATTTAGATCAAACACTACGGTACTGCTACAAAAAGCGGATTACGTGAATTGGAAATTGATTTTAAGTGCAAAAGTGATACGATTTAATTTTATACAGCTTATTTCTTATGTGCCTACATAAGTTTTTGCTACGTGCTGCTACTATTGATTTGCCTGTTAATTATTTTTAATCGCATCATTCATGTTGTGGTATCTAATTGGACGCTAATTGTTCCCGACATCAGTATGCGAACGAAGCCGCGGGAAAATGTTTGTAATTGGCCAGAGTTGCGGTAGTGGAGTGCTTTGCAAATACGTTGTCTATATCGAGAGAGGGCAGCGGTTGTTGACTGACCTCTGGATAAGGAAAAGCAGGGCGCGGCGGCAGCGGGCGCTGGTCCTGTACCAGCCGCTGGTGTACGCGGCGGCCGCCACGTCCGCGTTCTAAACAAGCGTTTATGTCACTCTCGGAACATGCTCGATATAAGCGCCGGCGCACACTTGTTCGCTATCCTATCGACTATCGGCCGCACTCTTGTTCGTGGGCGTGCTTGTAACATGTGCAACTATAAGCGCCGCCCGTTCACTTGTCCACTGCTGGTCACATAATAAGTACTTTTTTTTATTCATGCTTGTGGCTCGGATGCACTCAGCCACCGACACATTATAAATGCAATAAGACTAATTTACACTAAACATGTGGAGGCAGTTAGTGGCCAAATGAGCAAGAGTGCCTAGAGAGCTGAAGAGTCTTTACCGTTCAAACGAAGTTTGAATTTGCAATACTACTTATTCACATGTAAACTATAAAAAAATACCATGTTCGCATAGCAACTGAACGGAAATTAATAAAAATTATTCTTCTAATAAATAAGAAATTGGCATTTAAAATATGCTGCAGTAGATGTAACTTGTTAAACAGTTCTAACAGTTAGTTCGTGATATAAAGTATAGTTGCCCGTATAATACTGCACACGCAGAGCTTGCCTGCTTTACGGCACATGATTAAAGCTCCGTATGTGCATGAACGTAGGTGCTTTAGCATTCGATGTAATTTTGTCGTTTGGTGCACCTTTTGGTTAAAAATATTTTTTCTTTTTATAATTTAGTATAGATCCAAGAATTTCTCATTCTGGTCACATCAGTTATCGCTCTATCTCCTTTCCTTATCTGGGTACTTTCCCTGACTGAATGCCGAGTTAAATGTAGCATCAATGTAAATAGCTGTCATTGTAAGTCGGATACACTCACCGCGTGCAGGATGTCGTCCGCGTACCAACACAACATTCCAATTTGAATCAACGCTGACCCTAAAAAAAGCTTGTTGCTGATGTCTAAAAACGGTTCCAGCAACTGAAAAAGGTAAATCACTGTCTATTGTTCAGCTCTAAGATACAATGCTAAAAGGAACGGTTTATATACCTAAATACGAACTCATTTTCGTCGGTGACGAAGCAAGAAAAGTTCTACTTCACGATCTGCAAAGCGCTACGCAGCTAAGTTACTGGTGCGTTTAGAACGTACACTAGAGTACAATATTATAACTGAAAACGTAGAGATTACGTACGACAATGGTGAATACGACGCAGCAAATGTTGACGGAGCTAAGAATAATGTTGACCAGATTCGAGAAAGAGAATGCAACTTCCAAATCGTTGCAGTATCTGCAAACAATGTGTAATTTTAATTCATTCAGTTAAGTATAGAGAAATATTATCATATTGCAATTTTGCAGAAAATTACTTACTTACCTACTTAATATTATGAAAAAATTATATGAAAACTAAAGAGCTTTACTACGAGGTTTGACCAAATTGTTTTTAATTTACTTGCCTGATGAGTCGTTGATGGAGCTTAATACTCGCTAAAATGTCTCTATAGTTATCTTCTTCAGTCTGTTCCATAGTTGCTAGCGTTTCCAAGCGGCGCTGTAGCAGCCGCAGAAGGAGGCCTATGTGGCTCGCCATGCCAGAGAACAGCAGGTCAGTGCCTACCATGATCCAGACGCAGGTTTGTCCTGATAAAACACATTAATAAATTAATTTAAATAAAATATGACAATAATTGTATGATAAAATTTTGGTGCAGGCGCATAAGGTAGAGTCTTTCTGTTCGGTACCCCAGCCACGTGAGTATAAATCTTAGCTTCATTTTACAGTGTAATAAAAGCACAACTAGGTTGTAAAACAAATACAAGACGCGATGGGATCATTATGGCCCATTAATTATATGCCTACCTCCGCGAAAGTAGTGCAAAAACAATGTCCGACTGTGATATCGTGCATCTAATAATCTTATCACGTTTTTGTTGTAAAGTCGTTGGCATTATAATCAAATGCTTAAAGTGGACTAATTGCAACATATCACGATCTCACAAATCAACACTACTCCTGTTCACTTTGATGATGATGATAGTTGTTTTTAGATAATTGTATATAATTTACTTTCACTTTTTCTGTGCCAATAAAACAAATATTTGGATCTCAAATTGATGTTCAGTTTTTGTTGCAATTTGTAATTTTATGGATGGGCGTTTAAATAGCTGTAGTCACCGTAAAATTATAAGCGACACGTCTTGTTAGACATACCTATTTGTTTGTGAATTGCTTGGAGTATAAATTACCGGCAAATATTTCGAAGATGTAAACGGCGACATGCGCAACCGGCTGATGTTTATCGAAAGGGTACCATGAGACCCAAACGTAGCCCATTTCCACGTCTTGTCCTTGCCAAACGCGGTATGCGTACACGATGATTGGAGTCAGATTGTAGAACCAGACTCCTAACACGTTTATTACAAAGTACCCTGCGAAAAACACTAAATTTTAATCAATAGTACCATTTTATCTGGTAGAGTCACGTGTAATTAATTTAGATTTGGACAATAACTTTAATTTTATCTCTGTGTTATTTTCTTTGTTCAGCTGTGTAGACTTGTAATTGTTTCCGTTTTTTTATCCAAGAATTCGTGTAGCAAACACTCACATTGATGTGCAATACGTAGCGCAGTGAGACTTTTTGCTTTAATGACCGTAGCATCGTCATCGAGGGGAGACATAGGCCAGATTCCTGCTAGTTCACTTATCAGTTGCTTGAACACGTCCTTTTTGTACCATAGCGCGAATACTTTTGCGATGCCTGTTAATTTTAAATTCAAGGTTAAGGTTGGGAACATTATGTTTGACTTTTGTCTTTTTAATACTAGCATTTGGGGGATAATATTATTATTAATATTGTTTTACTTTATTTACAAAAAATCACTTTCTACTCACTAAGAGCACCATAACCAAAAGTATGAAATAACGGCACAACATCTTCTACGTTGGGCGAGTTGGATAACGTTAGACCGATGTACACAATCTCGCTGAAAACGTGATAGCAAATGCTCATCACTGACAATACCAACATAAACTTCTGCGCGAAATATGACGACGCATTCTTTGGCTCCTCAAAAGACAGACCAATGCGCCTCATACAAAAGGTATTTAATGTCAATGATTCTGCTATTTCCCGTTTGGCCTCGGAAAGCGTTATGTCGGACATTTTTGACCTGGATTTCCTTTGGTCACTCAAGTGGGATGGACTATGTGATGTCTGTGTTTGACAATGATCCTGACGTTCTGAACGGTGCTTTTAAAATGCAGTAAATGAAAGTGGTGTTTGCTACAGTCATAAATATAAAATCAGTTAATAGTGGATTGTTAGTACAAATAAATATTTAATTGGTTTCAAGCGTCTGAAATGGGCGTACCTATCGGAAAACTTTGAAACTTACAGTTCAAAACTTGTATGATAGACAAGTCTGATGGACGGAGCTTCTTTCCTATTATTATCAAATGAAGAGTTTGAAAAATTAGTAAATTTTTAATATATTTAATAATTGTATCCATTGATTTAAATCAAACTTATACATTTAAAAGGAATGTGGTTGAAGTAACTTGATTTTGAAAGTAATTTAAATGCATATTATTCTATCAACAATTAAAACGAAAACTGCCTTTGATATTGCCTGCTATGGAAATGCTCTCAGCTCTAATCTAATGTAGATTAGCTTTCAAGGTGTAGCGTGTTATTATTCTGGGAAATAAAAACGGTTTAGATTTAAAATTTCATTAAGTTTTACAGCTATACTCTTGCCAATTGAATCTAATACAGAATAATATTTACATGGGTAATTAAATTAATATCTATAGTCTTTAGATCAAATACAAAAGTAAGTAAGTACAAGTTAAATAAGTTAATTAAACTGAAAATGACAATCATTACGAGGTACCGTAATGAGATAAGAATTAGTTTCCATAGTGTCGTGATATAATTGAGTAGTTACATGTGTACTTGCAATGTTGCGGTACTCCGATGCGTCTAACACGCAAAGCATTTAATTAGAATCTGATGAGCTGGGATTTCATTAGTATAGTGCAATAGATTATTTAGTAATTATAGCAGCGCGGGAACACTGGGATCAGAAACAAAGCGCAGCAGCGAGTTTATACGCCAAGGAACTATAACACTATGCACATACACAATATGTACATAAGACCGCGAGAACCTAGCGGTAGGGTAGGATAATGGACGCATATTTTATTCGTTATCTAAGATGCATAATCGCTGATACCGCTAATACTATTCAAGTCACATTCAATCCGATACTCAAAGGACTTATTTTTATTAATGTTTCATGTCGATAGCCAATGCTATAATCAATATTATTTTACGTTATACGAGTACTACAGTAAACATATGGATAAATCAATTTTATTCATTAGCTGTTAATGGCTTCTGGATGATTTATGTTTGATATGTTCAACATTTGCATTCAATGATTAAATGCGATTGTCAATAAGTATGTTCCATCAGCTGCACTGTCGTGTTGTCAGCCTAACGACAACGATTGCATTGCGGCAAACGAACCATGGCAAAATTGTTTAATGGGCTCCTCGAGGCACATCTCGATCGAAGATTGCTAGCGGTAATCCATCCGGATTCCGTTCAAGGCTTTGCTGGTGAGACGCACACGATAATTACTTTTACGATTGTCGTGCGAGACGAGCTCTTATCATACCTATATTACGAGTATCAAATACATTTATTGCTACTCATAACAGTTTTAAAATTACCGTGCCTTGTCTATGTTGACTCATAAGACAGCTTTCCTTGACCTTGTTTACATAACCCTTACTTACTGCATAAGTTCATATTTTGTGTCATATTTGCGATTGTTAAGATCGTTGGTCTCCTTTTTGGTATAATAAAGTTTGCTAAGTTCTTTATTCACTTTGGACTCCCATGATTTTACCACGTTTTGTTTATTGTTCAAAGTCAAAATGTCTTTATTTGTATGTATAGATAGACTATTAAATAGAACTTACAAATCTTCAAATATTTTGCTCTTAAATAAACTCATAATCTCTTTTTACCCTACCAGTATACCTGTACCTATGAGGAGATAATGATACAAGGTATGGTAAAAAGAAGTAGAAAGAAAATAAAAACTCCATATTATTAACAGAAGTATAGTAATAGCATTTATTTTAACTTTATTTTTCAAAACTTGTAATAGCTAATAATGCATTTTACTGCTCAAGTAAGTGTTAAACAAAAACAATGAACATGCAATTTCATTTCATTAAATTTTGATTGTGCTGGAGTGCTATAAAATTACTATTTAAACAACACGCTTCTAAGAAAGCCACTTAAGTAAGCAACACGAGTCCCGATGTAAATGCTGGCTAAATAGTTAACCTTTGGCATCGAAGGTACAATTGTTTTGTTGTATTTGGGTTGTACTTACTGCGTTCGGGTACCAGACTGTCATTAGTAATATGCAAATTATATGTATTGGAGCCACTACTTTTCTTTTTTATTTGATGCTAGTTGCAGCCGCGGTATCGTTGTCATTTTTCTATAAAAAGCGAAGATGAAACTTCTTGCGGCGATCATGCTTTTTTGTATAATTGACTTTTTTCAGTTATGGGCGGGCATCGACACGAATTAGAGTGATTTAAGATTTTCCCGCTAGAGATCGCGGTGTTTCGGCAAATTTAGCACGCGGCCCGCGGTCCGTGGCGCGCTTTACAGTTCGCCACCGTTACGCAGCGATTAGGCGGCGCACGCGCGTCGCGCGCTCCCTGCGCCCAGCCCGCCTCCGATGCGACTGCACCGCAATCACGACACGCAAGCACTTCAAAAGTTACGATACACCCAATTTATCATACAGCTACTAAAATATGCTTCATCAGAATTATTACACACGATTTTCTATACTATAACTCATTTCGAATATGTATGCTTCCTTTCATTAATCCCAACTAATATTATAAATGCGAAAGTAACTCTGTCTGTCTGTCTGTCTGTCTGTCTGTTACGCTTTCCCGCTTAAACCTCGCAACCGATTTTGATGAAATTTGGCATAGAGATAGTTTGAGTCCCGGGAAAGAACATAGGATAGTTTTTATCCCGGTTTTTGAAACAGGGACGCGCGCGATAAAGTTTTTCTGTGACAGACAAAATTCCACGCGGGCGAAGCCGCGGGCGGAAAGCTAGTTTATAATAAAACATTGCCATCTCCATCATCAAATAAATTGATACATAGGCATCATCATAGTAAAAACAGAAATTAATTTATTAATTATTAAAAGCCAAATCTCTCTTAAAGCTCAGTCGGTCAAACAATCAATATCAATTAACATACTCATGTGTGCCGTTGTTTTGGTTCTGTGTGTTTAATTGTCTGAGAGCAGCGCTGGCAGTTACAATGTGCTGACGCATCATCTGTGCGGTACTAATGTAGAATTAATAATGGTCGATCTCTCCGAAGTAAAAGTGCTACGTATTACCTACCTATCAATGTTTGGACGACCGACCCAGTTCTATTGACGAGTGGATCGCCGGCGCCCGAGCAAAAACATCTCCGAGTGACTTCAAATAAAAGGTGTGAAAACGAAGTGAAACCAGCACCGTGTCTATATTACTATTCCAAATTGGGATTTGCGATTTAAATTATATTTATTTATTTTGAATTCCTCTACCATGGCTGTAGCTACGATGATTGATGATTGAAGTGATTCACTTACCATCAGGTGATCCGTCTGCTCGTTTACCTCCTGTCACATAAAAAAAAACCGGCCAAGTGCGAGTCGGGCTCGCGCACAAAGGGTTCCGTANTATTTAAATAAATAAACCCTTCTGATCACGTAATATCAGTAAATAAAAAGTTTTTAAAATTAGCAATAAAAAACGCGCCCGTCACGCTCACGTTTCCCGCGCTTTTTTCAAAACGATATCATGTTTTTTGTATTGAGTTTGACAGATCTTTGACGTTTGTTAGTGTTAAAGTAATGTAAGTAACCTCTATGGTTATAGTCACGGTTAAAATAAAGTGGTACAACCCGTGCAACTCAGCCTAAGCTTGTAAAAGTTTTTCAGGAACATATCAAATGAACGATATTGTAAAAGTGGCGGTTATAATGTACCTTCAGTTCTAATATAGTTTGTTAGCGACCATAGTAAACTGTGTTCTTTGATGTGTATATTGATTGATTTAGGTTCATCAATCTTAGCCATTTAAGTGACTTCGTGTATAATTGTTTCCTATCGACTTTTTATGTAGGTAGGTACACGAGCACGCACTGCCTAAGAGGGAGGAAGGAACTCGAAGTTTGGCGAAAAAATGGTTAGATAATGTTGGTAATATTTGACGAAGTGGTGGCAAGGCGTGGTGGTGGCAGCGTGGTGGAGCGACCAGTCAGTCGTGCGAAGATGTGGCGGTGGGCGGTACTGTGGCAGACCACCTCGTTGCTGTTGGTCGGAGGAACCCTGGACTTCCGATATTTTACCAGTAAACAGCATTTGCCCTCAACTCAGGTAAGGATGTGCAAGTTCAAAACAGCGAATTCCTTTACACTGTGACAAATGGACTTCGGAGTGTCAGTGAAAAAATAAAAGTTTTATTTTTATGTGTGTTTAAATATTGGGGTTATAATATTAGATACCAGGGTTGGATTAAAACAACTATAAATATTATTGTCATAAAATAAAATAACTTATTGCTTATCAGATGCTTTCTCCTCATTAAAGTTAGTTTAATTTTTTTATTGATTTAGCTTTTTAGCGTGGCTTTAACGATATACTTACATAAAGAGGCGCGTTATAACAAACACACAACCGAACACTTCCGTGTGATAGTTTTATACAATTTTAGAATATAAAACGAATTAGGCATTACATTGTGTTATCGAAAAACATAGAAACTGGAAATTCCCTGTTGTATTGTATGTTTTTTATAATCTTCATAACTTAAAAAAGCATTTAGCTTTTTTTAATAGAGCGTCGTGCCCGGTCTTCGTACAAGTTTCATTTTGAGAAAAGGGTTTAGAAAAGAGAAAAAGTATCTACAAGATTAAGAAAATCTCATCAAAAACAGAGCCTAGTTTAGGAATTAGCGGATGGTAAATAGACGCTTAAAGTTACTCTGTTTAAGTAAGTAGAGAAAACGCCGAATGTCATGTTATTATATGCACTTCATTGCCATAAAATGAGTTAGGGCCACAAAAAGTTACATAGGAAAACCAAAGGGAAAACATAGGTACATACCTTATTTTGTATAATGTTATTGTTACACATTTCAATTCGATTCAATAAAGTCGCATAACTCATTCTTTTATGTGATTGGGGGATGTATCACAGCGATTACCATCTCGATTCGGAAACAAAATGAAATGTGTTGTAAACAGTTTAGTATTTACAAGATATCATTAAAGTGATTTAAAAACATGCAATATCGGCAGCTAGCCAGATACGTGTAGTCCTCCCAAAAAAATATGCGTGTATGTACACCTACTTGCAAAGTAAGTGGTAGTGTTAATTTATTTATGGATGCTTAATTACTAGTGACAAGTGAAAGAAATCGCTGTGTATATCGCGATACAAATGCAAGGTATGATGGATGATTAATGACAGGTAATTGTAAGGAAACCGAAATTAAATCCAATTAGAGCTAACTATGTTTGGGTCACGAAACCATGTTTTTTAAGTGCGTTATCACAATTACACAAAAAGAAGTAGATGCTACTGTATTTACGTTGTAAAAATTGTTTTTTGTAATTTTTAAACATGATACCCAAAGTAGGTACATATTTTATGACATACACTCAAAAACTAATTGTACTAAAGTGATGTTAACTTAATTTTCCAGTAGGCCATTTTTGTAAACTGATTTATCACATAGATCAAAAGGTAGTACCTATTTTCATCATCATCATTTCAGCCCTAAGACGTCCACTGCTGAACATAGGCCTCCCACAATGTTTTCCATGTTGATCGATTGGTAGCGGCCTGCCTGTAGCGGCATTGGTACCTATTTTATACTTGTTTTATTTAGTTCCTAATCGTCAAACGCTTTCATTGTTTTAATTAAAATGATCGTTTTGTGTAGTCACGGCGCATCGAAGCGAACTTCATGTGCAGCGAAAATGCATTGTTTGCACGCCTCAAGCGAGTTAATGAACTTAACTGCATTGTATTATTGCTAGTTTAAAACCGACTGATGCGATAATATCTTAATCTGATAGTGATTATATCTTTTTCCTGCCAGCCCTCACTTTTTGTTTCAGGCAAACTGTTTCGACTCCTCTATACTGGTTGACCGACATGGCAGAGCAGTTCGTGAAGGTAAATACAAAATAACATTATAGATTATATACTTTTAATGCTTTATTGGCAATAACCGTAACCATGGCACTTCACAGGGTGGCGTCCTAAGCCAAGCAAGATACAGACTCTCCAACCAACTTCAGCGACGTATCCCACTTTTCCTTTATTGAACACCAACGAAATTATGGCTCGTAGAATCGACCGTTTGTTGCCGAACGCTGAAGATATTGTCAAAGAGCACGCCAAACTGGTACAAGATATCAACAGTCTGCGACAGGTGGTATTCGTATCGCCTTTAGTAGAAGAAAACAGGGATTATGATGAGTCTATACTGCAGGAAATTATCGAAATATCTACTACTCCAAGACCTTTACCAAAACTGACGAGTTCAAGGGCGCCACCGAAGCCTACCAAGACGAGTTCGATTCCGATAATTTTGCTAGGAGGTGCGAGCCAGCCAGATGTGGTAAAAACGCAGCCCATTCGATTCACTAAACCCATCAGTTTAGTCGGGAGCTCGATTTCACCTCTGATGAAGCATCCGTATCCGTTTGTTATGCACGGGTCATCAAGTAGACCGTATAAGTACTGCATGAATCCAATGCACATGATGTTCACAACAACCCAGAAGCCAAGTTTGTTACAGCGACTACTGAACTCAATATTACCCCGAGGTAGATAGTACATTAGTAGAGTCCGAAATTTTAATCAATCATTGTTTTGTGATTGGTATTTACAAATTGTTAAGTTATTTGGCGTTATGGAGACACAGGCGCATTAATATGCTGGCATGTAATAATGCGTAACTGTTTCGCAATGTTGCGTTTATATTATACGTTTCTCATAGTTTTTGTAGACTTGTAGATGGTAATACGCGACGCGGAAGGCGGTGGTTTCCCGCAGTTGTTTCGCGCGCCTATTACCCGCGCGTAGTGATGCGGCGATATGCCGCGGGCGCAGAGACGCACGCGCGATGTCGCTCGCGTGTCATACTTCTATCTAATTACCGGCGCCGATTATGTATTGTCTTTGTTTTTACACTTTATGCTCATCGAAATGGAAAAGTTGAACGCCTTATGTGTAACTAGCTTTCCGCCCGCGGCTTCGCCCGCGTGGAATTTTGTCTGTCACAGAAAAACTTTATCGCGCGCGTCCCTGTTTCAAAAACCGGGATAAAAACTATCCTATGTTCTTTCCCGGGACTCAAACTATCTCTATGCCAAATTTCATCAAAATCGGTTGCGAGGTTTAAGCGGGAAAGCGTAACAGACAGACAGACAGACAGACAGACAGACAGACAGACAGACAGACAGACAGAGTTACTTTCGCATTTATAATATTAGTTGGGATGATGCAATAATTTGAAATACGTTTATAGCTCACTATTCCCATAATGGTCTACTTACTTATTGCCCTCTTAATTTTTCAATTCAATCAAAATCAAAATAGCAATTTTTTCAAAAAGTATAATATTTTATTATTTTTTGTGTATTTTATGTATTTTTTTAGTATCGCCTGTTATTTAGCATTATTTTATCAGGATATACCGCTTAGTTTAAAAGTTATTACGTTTTCTTTACAATAAGTGGAAGAAAAAAAAATCTATAAAAAATCTCAAAAATTTTTTTACCTCTTTTTTGTCGATAATAATAGGTCTAGTTTCATCTTTTTTCATATGTACACTTTAACGTGACTCACACTGTATTGTCGACTACGTACATTTTATTATTTTCAAAATATACAAAAACTTGAAATGTCCATAATATAAGATACGTAACTAAAATTACTATTTTTTCCCCTAGTTAGGTGTGACTGTAGTCTTAATTATTAAGCTTAATCTATTGAGTCTTGAAAAAGGTAGAGCAGCATATTTGTCTGAAAATATGAGAATTATTCTGGTCCTTAGCAACTGAATTATTATCTTAGAGTTAAGTACTTCGATCCCCATATTACTGAAATCTCTACCATATAACTGTGTCTAGAGGTAGACCAGTTATATGCATTACCCCTAAATATTAATTCAGGACACGTGTTGTAAAATTAAATAAAGTATTAATTTTAAGTATAAAACAAAAGTTTGTGATTATGTGAAATGAAATCGTTTAACAAAAAAAGTTTGCGGTAAGTAAAAAAATACGACATAAACATTTGATGTGATTTTCGAATATTTTGGACAATTCACATGTTTTACATTGACACTCTATTATTACTACATATTATATGTCCCACATTATAAGTGTTGCAAATAAGACTCTTGTTGTTACATTGTGTATTCTTTATTTTTCCCTTAGAATTAGATTAAAAAGACTTGAAACAATAATTAGTTGATACTTTTTATTCACTGTGAGCTTTAACGAACTGTTTAATATTAACGGTTTAATAGTTCTTAAAACTTTCTATTACTATCGTATTAAGTACCTAAATAAATACAGCAGCAGGAAGTAAACTAACGCCCGTATTCACAAACATTACTATGAGGTCTCACAGTGCACGTGGATGCACGATACTAATCACAGAGCTCTATTCAACGCTGTGCGTTCGATTTGCTGCTTCACTTAAGCAAGTATCGTTTGTGAATACAAGCGTAAGTAGGTACATCTTATAAGTTGGTTGTAAACATACATTAAAGTATATGGGTCATTCCACAAAAATATGTCAACTCTTAGTCCGCGCCACATTTCACATGAAATATTTGTTAATATTTTATTCCAAAATTGTTAAATAACAGCTCGCAATGTGCTTTATTCATCACCCATTTATATTTTTTGAAACTATTTTTAAAACATCTTAAATTCCTTTTGAATGACCCAAAACGTCATTCCCTAGGCATGTCCGTACTCCAAAAGTTNTATTTAAATAAATAAACCCTTCTGATCACGTAATATCAGTAAATAAAAAGTTTTTAAAATTAGCAATAAAAAACGCGCCCGTCACGCTCACGTTTCCCGCGCTTTTTCAACAAAAAAGTTGGAAAACCTGTTGGGCGTGGGTGGGCGTGTTCCATTGAAGTTCAATCGTTATCGATAAAAAAAAGTAAAAAATTGTGAAGTCGACAACATAGGCGTTGCATTATTTCTAAATTCATGAGCTAAAAACAAGTTCAAATGAATGATTGGAGGGTTAATTTGGAGGGAAATTATCAAATTTTGACATTGACATTTGATGATTTGAAATAAAATCGAAGTGTGTGCTGTTGTTTTTGTTCAAAATATTTTTAACAATAGTTTTTAATTAATTTTTGCATGTATCGGTGACAATAATAATACAATGGCTGCAACAGCTACAGCAACAACTGTTTCTGTCGATGAGGACCTGGATGAGTGTGGGCCACAGTTGATCAACAAGCTAGAGGTAAACAAAACATGAGACGACATGTAACCAGGAAGTTAAACTATGTAGAAATAAATAAAAAATAACTAGAGATTGCCTTATTTAAATAGGTGTATGTAAGATCATTTCTATCCATAAATTTCAATGTTTTGTCCGTTTTCAGGGGAATGGCATCACATCTGGTGACATCAAGAAATTGGAAGAAGCTGGATACCACACTGTGGAGTCTGTAGCATACGCGCCGAAGAAATGGCTAATCACTATAAAAGGCATATCTGAAGCTAAAGCTGATAAAATATTAGCAGAAGCCTCAAAATTAGTCCCCATGGGCTTTACCACAGCTACAGAATTTCATCAAAAAAGGTAAAAAATTAATGAAGTCAAATACGAAGTAAAATCCTTCAAATAATCAAGTGTAATATGTGCCTGTAACAACTGTACACCATGTTTTATGCAAATAAACAATTATTCTATTCTATTCCTAATGGACCTAAATAGAACCCTTTTCTTCCACCCTGTGTAGCAATAAATTTATTCTTTTATGTAATTTTCAATTTTCACTATTTCAGAGCCGAAATCATACAACTCGCAACAGGATCGAAAGAGCTTGATAGATTACTGGGAGGTGGTATTGAAACTGGATCTATTACTGAGATTTTTGGTGAATTCAGAACTGGAAAAACTCAACTATGTCACACTTTAGCTGTTACATGTCAGGTTATGATTAAATTTTTGACTTTTTTTCTATTATCATCACTTGATAACAAAAAGTATAAATCATTGGGGTAGATTTATGTTTACCAGTGGACATCCTATGGCTGATATGATAATATCATTCTCAACAAAAAGACTCAATTAAGTATGTGCTTTGTGCTCATAAATATTAATTTTGAAAAACTCCAGTTTTAGCTGTTCAACTTTCAGTGTTGTATTAACTCTGAATAAATAAATTTGTATTTGTATAACTCTTCAAAAATATAAGTTCAAAGTAATTTATTATACCAGCACAACAAAGTAAATTACTGTATAACACAAGTAGGTTATATGAGCAAATTAAATTTCCAGTTACCAATAGAGCAGTCAGGAGGAGAAGGCAAGTGCATGTACATAGATACAGAAGGAACATTCCGGCCAGAGCGATTGCTAGCAGTAGCTCAACGATATGGCATGGAGGGGGCAGCGGTGTTGGACAATGTGGCGTATGCCCGTGCTTATAACACGGACCATCAGACGCAACTGCTGGTGCAAGCTTGTGCTATGATGGCAGAATCTAGGTAAATGATTTTTTTTAGATATGGCTTCTCCAAATAGTACGCGTAGGTACCTAAACGCCTCGTTATTGCGTTAATAGAGTTGCAGAGCGTTTCATACTGCTAGGCACTGATGCTGTTTGATAATGGAACTATCCACGTTCTACCAAATTAGCGTTTTAGCGCAACATCAGGCTAATCTTTAACGCGCACTAGGTACACGTTCTATTTGGCGAAACCTTTACATTTTAAATGCAGTTTTGTTTTACAGTATGGCATGTATATTATCTAAATTGATCTGTATTTTTCAGATATTCCCTAATAATAGTAGACAGTGCTACAGCACTGTATCGGACAGATTATTCAGGGAGGGGAGAGTTAAATCCAAGACAGCAGCACCTTGGCAGGTTCATGAGGATGCTTCTGAGATTAGCTGATGAGGTTAGTACTATAAAGTGATAGGAAGGATAATTATTACAAAGAAAATACATTATTAGAAATCATAACAAAAATCTATGCTGACTCATTCACAAGACGTAGCATAACATGTAAAAACATTTATTCCAAATTTTTTTCTTTATCAATATTGTTACATAAACTTTACTAAACACTTATTACGCGGCTGCGCCCCATTAGTATTAAAAAACCTTTATCATGATAAAAAGTTTTCCATGCATTTTCTTCTTTTCAAACTTTTAAATGTTTATCTTTCCAGTTTGGTGTAGCAGTAATAATAACAAACCAGGTGGTGGCCAATGTGGATTCCGTGGGTGTGTTCAATGCGGACACGAAGAAGCCCATCGGTGGGCATATCATAGCCCACGCGTCGACCACACGACTGTACCTTAGGAAGGGACGCGGTGACAACAGGGTCTGCAAGATATATGACAGCCCTTGTTTACCTGAGACTGAGGCAATGTTTGCAATCAGCACAGAAGGGATCACTGATGCTAAGGAATGAGATGTGTATTACATTTTTATGAAAAGTGCCTTTAATTAACGTAAGGGTTGGTGACTGTAATCTATTAATAAGAACTTTATTTTATTACTGAACTCATTCAGGAAAAGAGTAACAACAGGATTAACATATGAACCCTCAATCTAATATCATAAATGACTTAATGAATTTTTCGCTTAATTTTTTATGTAGCTAATGCTTGATTTGTAAATATTATTAAATTGAAAATGGTTCCACAGATTTTTGTTTTGGATTTTACAATTATTGGCAGGGAGGACTAAAGAAAAATAATACCATAGAACTGCTGCCTAAGTTACCTTTATGTAGCTGATACTTTGATCTTAATGTAGCTGAATTTCTTAACTTATAGTTTTATCCTGTCTGAATAATCCAACTCCAAGGTCTCCAAGGTGCGGGCCATATTAATGCTATGGTTGTAAATAATAAATGTTGATCAAGCATTTATAAAAATTCAAAAATAAAAGCAATGTATTTAATGATGAAATGAGTTTTATTTCGTGGGACATTATTTTTCAAACTATGTAATAGAATAAAATAAAACTACTTGCTTTGTTAAAGGTCAATTTATTTCTGAAAAAATTACATAAATGTGCTTCAAAACAATCAAACCAGAATAAATAAAATTAATAGCCCTAACAATGATAAGTACAGTGTAATTTCTTTTTATTTCTACACTAAAACATTTGATTAAATGGAAAGCACGCTTCTACAATTGAGTGTTATATTTTTCTGATAAAGGCAATAAAATAATAGAGAGTAGTCGGTAATTATCACAAATTCTACCATTTCTATCAGTACATTTTCTAGGGACCAACTTTAGATGGCAAAAATAAATTAAACTTATTTTAGCTATGATTCTCGCAGAACAAGCTTCAGTTATTTATATTGTTTCGTCGTAATTTTAGTTAGGAATCTATTTTAGTCTACTTAGTTTTGGAATGTAAGGCATACTTTATAGAATCAACTGTATTTGATAACGAGGATAACAATTCTTGCCAGTTCTACGAGACCATTGAATTACTATATCTATTCTAAACCCTTTATAAAAATAAATAATTATTACGAGACATTACACATTGATTTGATAGTAAATATATGCTTTTATTATTAAGTATACGCACAAATCTGTATCATAAGACGCGTTATTTTATGTATTTATATCAAATTAACTATTGAATAAGTAAAAAAAATAACGTAATTATAAATTAACAGAATAAAAAATTACATGTACTGCTAAATCCGAAGACTGCATGGTCCTGATAGGCTATTACTTTATCAGCAAGTGATGAAACTTGCCATCTTTATAATGCAGTTGTGACTAGCAGTGTTATACAATAAATAAATCAAATCACGATTAATTAAATAAAACAAATAATTTACATCGTCAGTGTTTTTTGCGTGTTACTGTTTTCATATCAAAATGCTTGCAAGCAGACGGGTGGTTAAGAAGCAGAAGTTTATAATATCTTAGCTGTCTATAAATTTGTCCGACGAAGCAAATTATTTCAGTTCTAATGTAATCTAAACAACTTATTAATAACGAAACATTTAATCCATTGTAAAGATACTACTTCCCCATCCGTAGACATAATGTAAACAAGGGTTATTAAGGGTCATTTTTTAAAGAGCCCCGTTGGTAAGAGTCAATCTAATTTGGACCTTATTACGCTTCAGAATTAAGACCATATTGTTGGTGTTTGTACTCAGTGAAGCGATCGCGAAATCGACTCTCATCATTCATGTAACATTGCGTCTAGAACCTTTAAATTATATCTTTACAGCGAATATAATAATTCTAAATTTATCACTATTCACTACATATATTTTAAGTAGTTTTCAATTCTAAACCAAATAAAATCACATTCCCAAGTAAAGTACATAATAAATAAATAAATATTTCCTACTGTATTATTGCTATATTTTATTATTATATCAAAACATTTTGGGGAATACATTCATAATACAGTTCCTAACGATTTTTTTACCTATATTGCTTATAAATGAACAATTTTTTTACAACGGGACCAAAAAGGATGATTTCCCATAGCCCATACAAAGTATCTAATAAAGCTTAATAATGACCATATCATTGCAGTACGATTTTGTGGTTACGCACGTAAGGCTTTTGTTTATGAAATTAGTATACCACGCAGTCGAGTTAACTGCGCACCTGACGCCGTGACGTCACATCAACGCACAGCATCGCATTCAGCGAGGTGCGCATTTAGCTCGTACAGGTTGTAAAACTTACTTCATCATAGATCTTTCTATCAATATGTATGTATTGTATGATAAGGTAACAACCATGTATTGTGGAATATTATAAAAAAAAGTAATGACCAAAAGTTTCAATAGAAATAAATGTTCAAGGCTCCTTTTTTACATTAATTTTCTTAAATAAGGGCTAGCGTTTCTGCGATCAGTAGGTGGCGCTACTGCCGAGCAAGGTCCTGTCACTCACCAGTGGCGCTATCGAGTGACCACAAAAGTTGAGCGCAAATACGACGGCGCTAGTGGATTTCATCAATAATCTTTATTATTTGTTTCCAGGCCGTATTAACGATATTATTTAGCATGCCAGCAACAAAGCACGATTATTAAGGTACATAATAACAAATAGTCCACACAAGCACATTACAAATCAATGTCAATGGATGCTTAATTTTTTTACATAGAGCATCAAATTGAAAAAGAAGCACCCATTAAATTTGTAAACAAACTATAGTATATTAAGGCCTTAAACTGCAGAAATTCATTACGTTAATCAATCCATTATATTGCTGTCAAATATTGTATAATCGTTCTTGTAAAAAAATAACAGTATTTCAATCAAATTAGTTGTATAAATTATTATTAGAATTCGTAATTATTTTGATATTACATGATGAAATTATAATCATTTTGTAATGCGACAGATCTGTCTTTAGGTCATGTGTAAAATCTATAACTCCAACCAATACAGACAAAGAAATCACTTTTTTACAAGGCAAGCTTCTTATAATCAAGTCTATTCTGCGTGACAACTCTAAACAACAGTAAAAAATTGATTCTTTTGTGGAATCATCGTATACGAAAACACATACGTAGACACGATATTACTGTAAATCGCATAGAACCGTGAACTGATATTGGAGCAGGTTCCCAACCTCGAAATAAACCAAACAATTAAATGAGGCCACAAATGGCTGAGGCACAAAAAGCCTCAATGATCAAAGATTTCGGATATTAAAATTTTTCATATTGTTTAAACCTACTGAGTATAGAATATTATTATATTTTGGAAGCCATTTAGACCCGTTACGATTTAGATGTATAGCAAAAATAATCACTATGTATTTTAACATGGAAAAGGTTTAAGGATTTTACTCTTTCACAACTTTTCTCGGTTTGATGAGGTAAGACAGCCCGCAGACTGAAAATATTTTTTATGAACATGTATGGAAGTGCACACACCACCGATTTGATATCGGCCGATACCTCATACAAATTAGAAGCCTTCCCAACTATCGGCCGACTTAGTCTGCAGTCTGCGGGGTGTTTAAACCTTGACAATAATCAACTGCACAATATCATTTTGAGACTATGGGGCACAATGCTTTAATGAGTGCTTTGAGGCAATGAGTCCAAAAATATCTCATTAAAGGCAAAAAATGGCTCATTAAGGCAACGAGGCACACTGCGCCTTAAACCGAGACGAGGCACTCATTGCCTCACAGTGTCAGGAACCTGTGCAAAGTAAAGTGAGCTCTCGGCGCCGGTATTAAAGCTTGGGTTCTGCTGGCAACACACTGCTAATTCCGGGCACGAGGGATGGCGCTATCGGGTTGGCCGCTGCCTCTAAGTCCAAGCGTTCGTGTTCACGAGCTACCAACGCGCGCAGTTCGTCCTGTAAAAATTTTTAGAATGAGGATTTTAAACAAAATCGATTGCTAGAAAGATGTTGTGTATTTTTACAGAAGGTCCTTTATGATACAGGATAATATAAAACTGTATTAATATGCTATTTTTGAAACCAAAAAAACAAATTGAATCGAGATCTGCCAAGAAAAATGTTATACAGACTGAAATAAAAAGCCAAGTAAGGTATGCTATTCATTCTTCTTCACTTCACTGTGGAAAGTGTTTAACTTTCCACAGCAAATACTAAGTGAAGCACACAAAAATGTAAATACAAATTGTAAAATAGAAGAATGTTGACCAGTACAGGACATTGTTAGTAATCAAATTGTTTAGTGTGAAAAAAACGCATAAAAGCGTATTCGTTCGTTCGTTCGTTTCAGCCGAAAGACGTCCACTGCTGGACAAAGGCTTCCCCCAAGGATTTCCAAAAAAGTGTATGCCATTAACGAATAAAATGTATTGATAATAATAAATAGACAGCAATATGACTCACCCCCCATCCCAGTCTGTCAGCAAGGTCCTGGCATCCATCATCGCAGTCGCCGAGCAGCGCCACATCCCTCGTAGCGTCCTCGTCAAACTGTAAGCCCCCACTCATGCCCCACAGCCGTAGGATCGGAGAACGGACCCCTGCTTTCTCACGGTTGATCAACAGGCGGGGACACCACTCGGGCACCCTGAATAAACATAGGTCTCCATTAGTAGTTTTAAGCTATGAGTAAGTTGATTGCTTTGAGATCTGTTACTTTTGACTGAAATAATAAACCCTCTGTGATAGAATGACGATGCAAAATGATAAATAAATTCAATAAGGCAAAATTTACAAAAACTTTACTGAGTGGCTTATCATTTGAGTTGCACTAGTGCTTAGAAATAAACCTGACATGTATTGTGCTGAGAAAAGGCTCTAAATTTTACAACAATATTTTTACTTTTTTTTTTATGTGACAGGAGGCAAACGAGCAGACGGATCACCTGATGGTAAGTGATTACCGTCGGCCATAGACACCAGCAGACCCAGGGGCGTTACAGGTGCGTTGCCGGCCTTTAAGGTGAAGATACGCTCTCCTCTTGAAAGCTTGCAGGTCGTATCCGTCCGGAAACACCGCAAACGACAGTCTATTCCACAGTTTGGTTGTACAGGGCAGGAAGTTTCTAGAGAAACGTACTGTTGTGGACTGCCAACCATCTTAGTGATGGGGGTGGAAGTTACTTAAACTATTTTACTTAGGCTGAGTTGCACCACTTTAACTGTAACAATGATTGGTGCTTTTTGTATGGAGTTTGAGCGATTTTTGACGTTTGTCAAAGTTAAAGTAGATGGTGCAACTCAGCCTTAGTATTATTTACTCACATATCAATAAGCGATGCAAATGGCTGGACTTCGAGAGACGAGCCCATGATAATGAGCATATCACACTGACCGAAGTCTTCATGAAGGCACCTTTGGAACCTCTCCGGCAGACTCTCACCGAAGAAAACTATGTCTGGTTTTACAACTCCTGGGCATTCTGTGCATATTGGGATCTCATCCGCAAAAATTCGATCTGAAATTGGCAAAAAAATTCTTATTTATAAAATTTATATCTAGAAAAAAATGCTCTGAAACGTACTAAGTTGTTTGTAGAATAGTGTTTTACAAGAAAAAAAATTTAAAAACCTTCTTGATATACACAAATTACCTTTTACGTAATCTAAGGTATATTCTTTGCGACAATCCAGGCAATGTGATGTGTAGAATGTGCCATGAGCTTCAACTAACTTGTCATCAGGAATATCTGCTCTTCGCTCCAGTGTATCGATATTTTGGGTGTAGTGACGGAGCAATAATCCTGGGTAAAAAAAAAATTAATCCTACTAATATTATAAATGCGAAAGTTTGGATGTCTGGATGTTTGTTACTCTTTCACGCAAAAACTACTGAACAGATTTTGATGAAACTTTACAGTATTATTGTTTATAACTCAGAATAACATCAACAACATCAGCAACAGCATCAGCATCAACACAAACCTTAGTGGTTTCCTGAATGCTGTCTAAACAAATAATTATCTATAATTTTATTTGGTAAATAAATGAACAAAAAAACATATAAGCTATAATTTATGACAATATGTGACAAAGAAATTTCATACGCGGGTGAAGCCGCGAGCAAAAGCTAGTAAGTAATAAACTTAGTTCAGTAGTTTTGACCTATAACAAAAATGATCTTTCATTGTAACCAAACAACAAATAAAAATTCTTGTATAATTTATTCTAGTGAATTCATGAGTTTTACATACCTTTTTCATGCAGAAGTCTTATGAAATAATGTGATTTTGTGGGTTTAAAGTTTCCTGGATACATCTCTTTTGCCAGAGCAAAGAAAGGTTTTGGATTTTGCCTGAAAAAGTTTATTTCAAAAATGGCCTGTGGCTCTGGTAGGTTGTACTTCTGGAGATTGTGATATAGGCCTGTTTCGGGGCTGCGGAAATCTGGGATACCAGCCGCTGTAATAGAAAACAAATAAAAACTTAATTTCATATTGTGATTAATTTTCTTTAGTCTTATTGTAAACGCTGTTAATACAACAGATTTCAATCAATGTATGGAAAGTTCAATATGATGAAATATTGCATTAGGTAATTAATTTATGGGTCATTCCATAAAAATCTGTATATTTTCGACGTCATTTTGTCCGTAACTTTTTTAAGATGCTTTTGAATACTTTATTAGTGTAAATTATTGTTTATTAATTAATTATGTCATGTCTAAAANTATTTAAATAAATAAACCCTTCTGATCACGTAATATCAGTAAATAAAAAGTTTTTAAAATTAGCAATAAAAAACGCGCCCGTCACGCTCACGTTTCCCGCGCTTTCCTTTATAATTGTGTTCTTTAAGTGCTTAATCAAAGTAATGTAGGTTTGAACAATGAAGCAAGTTTCTCGACTCATGCACTTGTGGGTGAACAAAAAGAAAAAGGCAGGCGGGAAATGAAAGAGCATTTGCAACATTCGATAGAATGTTCATGGATTAATGAAAAAAACAATTTAATGTGAAATTTAAGTCACAATCGATAATCGAATATCCCAATTTTACGATGAAACGGTACATCACTAACAAACGTCAAAAAAAAACAATCGTTACTTTGTCTGTGGTACAAAACACCTGCGAAAATATTTTTGTCGTTGCTGTGTGTCGCAAAAAGGAAGAAAAATATTTATTTGCAATCATGAACGTGCGCGAAGAAGACCGTCAAAAGAACAGCTGCCCAAGCCGCGGTCTCGGACTGGCGGCCGCGGCGATAGGCGTCGGTGTTGGGGCCGCTTTGTACTACTTCTTCAGCAAGCGGCCAGAGAACCCTGATGGTGAAGGTTCCACCACCAGCGGATGGACGTGCGAGCAACCTCACGCCTTGTAAGTATGGATATAAAGTACATTTTGTTGTAGCAACGCTTCGCTTTCGCTTTTGCTAATTATTTCAAGTACCCACAAACGAAAATATTGTTTTTTTTTTTATCAATGCATCAATTGCATTCTTCTTCCTTCCCGCAAAATATGTAGTCATTGACTTTCAAACCTTAATTTGCATTTTAATCAGTTATTAGATATGACGTATTCATTATTTTAAAATGTAGTGTAGCTAATATTACATCATTCAGTTTTCATATTACAATCATTCATGCATGAGTTGAGAACCAGTTGATCCTTTAAAGTTGGTCTGAAACGTAGTTTGTTAGTACGTAGGTAGGTTTATATTTTCCATGCCAACTTTCAAGAAATCACTTGTAAATAATCATGTACGTTCATACATTCCATCAGCAGTAGCGAACAAATGTCCGAACTCACCGAACACGATGACTCATACATCACCATATCCGAGAACAGCACTAGCGATACAAGCGTCCACGATTCAAACACAGACTCCGAAGATTCAGAGGAAGAATGGGTACCTGACAGTTCAAATGAAGAATCAAGCGAGGCCAGCACATTTGGTTCCAGTGCTGCATCGTCAGAGTATTCTATTGACGATTCCGTCACAGAATTTGATGCATATACTTCTCAAGAATCTGTGGGAAATTTTGAAAGCAGTCAAAACAGCGATATCTATGATACAACAGATTATTTGAGAATGCCGCAGTTATTCTCAGATTCTGATACTATGGACTGGGACGTTACCACTTCGTCCATTGATGTGCCTGTGTTTGAATTTCCACGGAGTCCTGTGTCTGGATTTAATATAATACAGGCTGCTAGAAATTTGATGTGAGTAACCTTCATTTCCATCATTATCAATGTTAATTATTTATTACAAAGAACTTAATAATACTTTATTAACTTACACCGTTAAAGATGTTTTTTTACGACACAATTATTCCATTTGTCTGTTCAACGTTTTCAGGAGCAAAGAGGAGGAATCCCTTAGGCAGCAAGCTTTGTAAGCGATGCAATATTTGGCCTGCTTTTTGTTTTGTGTACTAACACTGTGTCCGTCCCAAAACATCCCATACTAAAAAGTGCTCGTTTTAGTGATCTTTTGTGAAAACACTAACATATTGGTATAGATGAACTACACTGAACTGTCCCACCAAACTCATTGACAGGGAGGCGCCACCATCGTTCAACAATATAGTATCCAACATGACAAAAGTCAGAACCAGCGATCCGGTATTGATGGTGGCGCCCCCAATGTCACTGATGGGACAGTTCATTGTAGTTGGACAATAGTTTTGGATCTAGCGTTTAACTCAGCGCCTGAGGTATCAAGATATGGGAGGATGCTTTTGTGACTTCAAATCTCCTTCAGATTTACATGCTCTGTCCCGTCATTATTTAATTACTAGCATTCTGCCCGCGGCTTCGCCCGCGTGGAATTTTGTCTGTCACAGAAAAACTTTATCACGCGCGTTCCTGTTTCAAAAACCGGGATAAAAACTATCCTATGTTCTTTCCCGGGACTCAAACTATCTCTATGCCAAATTTAATCAAAATCGGTTCGGTGGTTTAGGTGTGAAAGCAAGACGGACAGAGTTACTTTCGCATTTATAATATTAGTATGATTTATATGTCAATGTCACCCCTCCCGTGCCGCAGGCACTGAGTTAAGCGCTACACCCACAGGTTATCCATACTTAAAGCGACACTCTGTATCGAAATTAATACATACAGAAATGGTCACTAACCCAGTATATTTTATGCATTGTTCATTACTTATTATCCTATCCAATCTTAAAACAAGTAAAGCCCGGTCCGTGAGCACGTAGAATTTTGTCCAATGACCCCAAGCTACCCTTCCTTATTGCTCGCGCGTAATTATATTGCTGTCGCGACTGTGCGACTGGCAACCGCAGTGAGTGTGCGAGTGTGATAGCAACATAATTACGTGCGAGCGATAAGGATGGGTAGCTAGGGGTCACTGGACAAAATTTTACGTGCTCACGGACCAGACTATACCTATTCTAATTTTTTAAGTGACCCCTATGGTAACACAACAGGAATTTTGTTTTGATGGGGTCACTTAAAAATTAAGGCGATTAGTGTCCTCAATCCGCGTGAAATGGTCATTTTGTNTGGAGTACGGACATGCCTAGGGAATGACGTTTTGGGTCATTCAAAAGGAATTTAAGATGTTTTAAAAATAGTTTCATAAAATATAAATGGGTGATGAATAAAGCACATTGCGAGCTGTTATTTAACAATTTTGGAATAAAATATTAACAAATATTTCATGTGAAATGTGGCGCGGACTAAGAGTTGACATATTTATGTGGAATGATCCTTATTTTTTTTAATGGAAAAATATTAGAATGAGCTTATGTCTACTTTTCCACAAACAAACATGATACTCAACTGACCTTGAAGTAGGTAATCAAACAACTTGTTTACAGCTGTCACTTATTAGCACCACAGCAGTTGATAACAAATCAGTGCAAAAACAATAATTAGACATTTTTCTAATCACATCCTGTTGCTCACCTGTTGATATACCTGCTCCAGACAAAGTAATAACATTCTTGCATTTATCACTTTTTATCCAATTTACTATGCCGTCCAAGTTAACCTCGTCTAGGACTTTTTCCAACTGAGAAGTTGGTTCAGCAACCTCGTATAGTCCAAGTTTTTGGGCCAAGTAACGCCTTATGGAGTCCACGTCCAGGTCTCTAATTCTCGACCCTAGACTATCGATAGGATTTGGCGGGACAGTCGGCCCGACACTATCGACTGGTTCTTCCCCTGGAAAATTCACCAATATCAAACCATCACGAGAACCATTTGACACTTAAATTGATTTTCACACTTTTTATAACATACCATCGCTCTTTCCTGGCGGTGAATTAGCGGACATTTTACGTAAACAAAGCGAATTGCGATTCCAAACCTTTGTCCAATTTTGCCACGGATCTTTTGACAGATAAAACATCAAAACCATGCGCATTCTTGGAATTCGTTGCGTTTTGTTGCTATGTATAACACGATAATATTATGAAATGTTTATAGCAAAAACACTCGCGTTACTTAGCACTATTTCAGTAGAAATATCTGCCAAACTTCAAATGCAATAGGCTAGTTGCCACTATTTTTATTATTTGATAAAACGGTTCATTACGATTATGTCGGAGCCGGANGAGTTTTTATACTGCAAAAGAAATGCATTAGAATTTTAACCAATATAGATCAGATGGAATCCTGTAGACCACATTTTGTCAGGCTTCAAATACTAACCCTTACGTCTATTTATATCCTCGAGTCCTGNTAGTTTAGTACATTTCGGGCCATCACTTGCGCCTGTGTTGAATGACATCGACATCAAGGTTCATCAATTCAAGTTTAAAATAATAGGCAGTAATGTATGAAGAAAGAGCTTCTATTCTGTACCTGCCTATGCTCGTGTAATTTTGATCGGTGTCAAATCGGAGTTTTCGTGCGGGGTGCGCGGGTGTTGTGCGAAGCGTGAAGGTCAAACGCTCAAGGTCATTGAGGACTCTAATCGCCTTAAGGATTGATGGTTAAAACGGGCATTACACTTTTTAAATGTTTTCAGGTATGAGGAGGCACAAATTAGAATGCTAAGGGAAGAGGCATAGTAAGGGAGATTGGTTTTTGTGTTGTTTGTTCAAAAAATGCATGAGATTTGTTGGATATTTTTTATTACTTTAGTTATTAAGTAATTAGTATATTTGTTAATATAACTAATTAGAATATTAACTAATGGAATATGTGCAGAGTTGTTTATTAATTATGTTTATGTAAGAAATTGTTTGTTTTTTATAATGTATATGCGCTTAAGTTGAATTTATTAACTATTTTTTGGTTTAACTAACTCATAATCATTATATACCTTATTTGTATAAACTTATAAATAAAGAATATTACTTGATTTTATTTTATGTTTTGCAGAAACTGCACATTTGTTTATATTTTAATCAGTAACGTTTTTGTCCCTGTCTAATTTGTATATTTTCTCGTTCCAGCCGCGAGCGCTCGTGGTCCCTCGAAGAGTGTTCCATCTGTTTCGACATAATACTGAAGGATCAGCAGGTATTCATACATTTTTACGATAGAATAGAACCAACCTGTGAACGTACGCGAGCCAACGCGACTAGGCCCGGTTTTTTGATTCTAAGGCCCGGTTTTTTGATTCGTAGTTAAATTAACCAATGGTCAAATTTGACAGATGTCAAATGACAAGTGGTTAAATATCAGAAAAAAACGTTTTTAGAATGGTTAGCTTGAATTTTAGTACATTTTTTAACTACTAGTTTACATTTTGTTAATATTTAACCATTAGTAGCAAAATTTAACAATTAGTTAATTTAACTATGAATCAAAAAACTGGGCCTTAGTTAAAATAACCAATGGTCAAATTTGACAGATGTCAAATGACAAGTGGTTAAATATCAGAAAAAAACGTTTTTAGAACAATGGTTAGCTTGACTTTTAGTACATTTTTTAACTATTAGTTTACATTTTGTTAATATTTAACCATTAGTAGCAAAATTTAACAATTAGTTAATTTAACTATGAATCAAAAAACTGGGCCTAAGGTACAAGCGAAATCCCCCTCTTCCCGTGAACGTCATATAAAAGGCAACTAAGGGAGAAATATGCGAACATCAGTAGCCTTATTCACGTAACAAAACTTCAACGACAACAAAACACTGAGTGGCGATCCTATCGAGTAATCGTTCTATCGAAATGACCCTTGTGAATACGGATTTAGAACTGTTTTTCAATGGGACGACTTCTGAACGTCAGCGAGATCTTGACTAGAGATGAAACGGATAGTTGTTTGGCCGGATACCGGATACCGGATATCCGGCCAGCTGCTAGGCCGGATAGCCGGATATCCGGCGGCCGGATAGTTGGTCCATTGTCTCGTTGCATGTCGTGACGAGTTTAGCGCCGCACAGGTGCTTCGAACGCGATCAGTGGGTCTATTAGTAGACTAGACTAGTCTCACTTTTCGAAAATCGAATCAGTCCGAATAGAATGTCAGATTTTGCCACTTGTTTAGGGGGCAGATCAATTCGGACGATTTCGGTTGCCATCGTGAGTGTGTGATTGAATAGCGAAAATTAAATTGTTTACTTGCTGCATAATCTGACTGAATTGCATCAGACCATCAGTGAAAAAAAGATCGCCTATTTTATTTCGATTTAACAGTATTTACTGTTTATGTATTCGTCATTAGAGTGAATAGTCCAGAAAAAAAAATTCCTTTTTTAAAGGCCTTAATATGGCTTTTTGTAACTTATTGGACTTTAAATAAAAGACGTCATTATTATATGCCATTTTATTGATGTTTACCTCAAAGATTAATGTATTTCATTTTATTAATAGGATATTGTCGTAGTTTTTTAATATCCGGTATCCGGCCGGATAGTGAGTTACTATCCGGTATCCGGCCGGATAGTAAATTTAGGCCGGATATCCGGCCTACCGGATAGTTACCGGATATCCGTTTCATCTCTAATCTTGACTGTCAAAATACGCGAATTAGAATACACAATCCTCCCCAACTCGTATGGCCAGCGTGGGGAGTGTAGACCAAATCCTCCATTTGCCTCTGGTAAATTAGAGAGGATCGATTAAATTAGAAGCATCAACAGCAGTGGTTCTTAACCTTTAAGTCGTGATGGACCATTTTACCAAATTGCTGTCTTGTTAGGGGCCATCTCATAATCATAATCGGTCAAATGTAAACCAGTTTGACTGCAAAAATCAGTTAAAAGTGGTTTTGACTAAGGCGTGCAAGTGCACTTCATGGACCACTTGGAATGCCGCCAGGGACCACCAGTGGTCCGCGGACCACCGGATAAGAACCACTGATCTACAGTGAAGACTAAACGACCCGATTATAATGATAATAATAATCCTTGGACATACATATTTTAGGGCCAAAATTACTTAAATTATTTAAAACGATAGTCCCGTTAACGCCTCGTGAGTTCACCACAATAGTTGAGTGGTGCCGGGGATCGAACCCGCGTTCCTCGGATCATGAGTCTGCCAGCCCGACATCTTGACCGTTCGGTTATCATCGCTTCATCTTTCAGATAGATTCTCCTCATCGCGCATCGTTTATCTATGTATCTGTTATAGATGACCCACGCTGAACTGTCCCACCAAACTCATTGACAGAGGGGCGCCACTATCGTTCAACTATATAGTTTTCAACATAACATAAAACGGAACCAGTGATTCGGTATTGACGGTGGCGCCCCGCTGTCAATGTCACAGATAGGACAGTTCAGTATTTTGGATCTTTATGAGTCTTGACTGTAACATATTAATATCATAAATGAATAATAATGACATTGACTGGTGGGCGCCACTGTCAATACTGGATCGCTGGTTCCGATTTTTGCCACGTTGGAAAACCAAAAACACGTTAAATGTCATTTGCAGGTGAGCGCTGCCATCAATGCCCGTTTACTAAAGCCTAGTCCGTGAGCACGTACAATCCCGTCCAATGACCCCAAGCTACACATCCTTATCGCTCGGGCGTAATTATATTGCTGTCGCGACTGTGCGACGCGACGGGCAGCTTGGGGTCATTGGACGGGATTCTACGTGCTCACGGACCAGGCTTTAGTTCCGATCTTTGCCATTTGACGTTTCTAAATCGTCCAACCGAGTTGGAAGTTAAACTAAACTCGACATTGGACAAAATTGTAAACTGGCTTGAAGTGCATAATTTGCAACTTAACTTAAATAAAACTAAAATTATTCAATTTAAACCCTACCAAAAAACTGCATTACAAATATCATATCAGTACAAAAACACAAAATTGGAAACCGTGAACTCTGCCACCCTGTTAGGAATAGACTTGGATACCCATTTGAATTGGAAGCAGCATATCCAAAGGCTGTCGAACAAAATGTCCTCTTTTGTATATGCACTCCAACACCTAAAGAGAGTCACCGACCTTAAGACTGCATTGACAGCATACTACGCATACGCGCACTCGAGACTGTCGTACGGTGTAATTATATGGGGAAATTCCTGCGAAGTAGAAAGAGTTTTTATACTGCAAAAGAAATGCATTAGAATTTTAACCAATATAGATCAGATGGAATCCTGTAGACCACATTTTGTCAGGCTTCAAATACTAACCCTTACGTCTATTTATATCCTCGAGTCCTGTAAATTTGTCAAAAAGCATGCTAACTTGTATTCACCGGAAAAAGGAACTAAAAGAAACAATAGAAATTTGAACAAGCTTAAAGTACCCTTCTCAAAGTTAAAATTGTTTTCTTCTGGTCCCCATAGCATGCTTATAAAAATATACAACCACCTACCTAATAAATTGAAAAATTTAGAATCCTTCACGCTTTTTAATAAAAATCTAAAAATCTTCCTAATTAATAAATGTTATTATAATTTGCAAGAATTTCTAAGTGATAAATTCAATGATAGTGATGGGTAATTCGATATATTATTTTATATTTAATAATGTTGTTATAAAATTGTAATGTTGTAATTGAAATAAGTTGTAATTATACAGATCTCTAATATTATTATTTAAATTATAATACTTATTAGATTTAATCTCATGTTGCAATACCCTAGCAGGGTCCATGTTTTGGGTCTATGTCTATATGTAAGAACTTTTATATACCAACATTGGAGCAATAAAGAATTTGAATTTGAATTTGAATTTGAACCATAACCTAGACTTCCGCGACAGCGCATCCTAGCCCGGCTTATGATGGTATTGCATCAATGTGGTATTGCATCAATGTGGTATTGCATCAATGTGGTATTGTATCATTTCCAGGTGACGACCCTGCCGTGCACGCACCACTTCCACGCGGCGTGCATCGCGCCCTGGCTGCAGGAGCAGCAGACGTGCCCCAACTGCCGGAAGGCTGCCGAATGATAAGGGTGAGGCACTCATCATCATCATCATCATCAGTATTCATTTCAGCCCAGTCAGTCAAGTCATACCCAGCGTCTGGTCTAGGAGGGAGCACCTTCAAACTGACAGCCTATAGCAACCGTGCCCCAACTGCCGGAAGGCGGCCGAATGATAAGGGTGAGGCACTCATCATCATCATCATCATCATCATCATCCTTCATTTCTCTTAGGGCTATATTTCACCGGGACACCATGGCGGCGCAACCAGTCGCCGCTACCAACAAAATGTATACAGCTTTGCGCAACCAAACGGACACCAGTAGGCCTAAGATGCGCGCTGCGATAAGCGGTCATCACGCCATTTTATCGATTTTTCTTATACATTTTGACGTCGATAAAAGTTATCACGGCGCGCATCTTAGGCATACAGGTGAGTAACTCTCTATAGAGNCGCAACCAGTCGCCGCTACCAACAAAATGTATACAGCTTTGCGCAACCAAACGGACACCAGTAGGCCTAAGATGCGCGCTGCGATAAGCGGTCATCACGCCATTTTATCGATTTTTCTTATACATTTTGACGTCGATAAAAGTTATCACGGCGCGCATCTTAGGCATACAGGTGAGTAACTCTCTATAGAGCTGCATACATTTTGTTGGTAGCGGCGACTGGTTGCGCCGCCATGGTGTCCCGGTGAAATATAGCCCTTAGTCTTAGCAGTCAACATGGCATGGGCGTACCAAGCTTCTGGCTTAGGGGGGGAATTTATACCCAGCATCTGGTCTAGGGGGGAGCACCTTAAAAACGACAGCCTATAGCAACTGTGCCCCAACTGCCGGAAGGCGGCCGAATGATAAGGGTGAGGCACTCATCGTCATCATAATACTTCATTTCAGCTGTTAGCCGTAATCATCCATCATTATTTCACCCTATAGCCGTCATGTGCTGGCTGAAATTACGTTTGAGGAGGGATTTTTGTAGGATTTTTTGCGAAATTAGTTTAGTAATTAACTCGGTGTCGCGTAAGCATAGGTTGGCCATTTCGCAAATAAGCCCCTTTGGAAATTACCCATTTTACTATTTATAGATCGTGTCATCCACTCAGACACGCCCCACCATTCTTCCGCGGATGTTTCAAGAGTGTTATCGGTACACGCTAAATGATCCATGAGTGCACACGCACTCTACAATAATGCCTTACGGATTGCTCGGATCAAACTCGCACCCCGCGCGACCGAGACCAAACATTGCTGGGACGCGTCCGAGTGGATGAAACGAACTATACAGGGTGGAAACGATAAGTGATCTTACTCGATTATTTCTAAACTATACAAGATATCGAAAAACTGATTACCGATCCTGAAAGTGCTTCACGAGCTCTTTCAAACGATATCAGTAATAGGTTACAGAATTAACTGGATCTATCTGAAAATTCAATGTTTTCAGCCTCCATACTAAATGTATGCCACTATGCCAGCCACACAATATTAGAAGTGTTTTTTATTTTTATTTTAAATAATAAACACTTAAAATTAACTCGTAAATTGCATTCTAATCAAAAAAATCAAAATCAAAATCAAAAATATTTATTCAGTTTAGACCACAAGTGGCACTTATGAACGTCAATAAGCTTATTCATGGAAAACATTGGTTTTAGGCTTTACTTGCTATAATATTATCAAAACATGAATGCCATGACTGTGGCAGTACTAAATGTATGAAAGCTGGATACATTGAATTTTCGGATAGATCCAGGTTATTTTATAACTTATTAATGGTACCCGTTGGATAGAGCTCGTGAAGCACTTTTAGGATCAGTAGTCAGTTTTTGGATCTCTTGTATAGTTTAGAAATAATCGAGATCACTTATCGTTTCCACCCTGTATAGTAGTTTTGAGAATTAACTAGTTCGTGAATAATTCCTTCTGTGAGCTGGTGCATTCGCTGAATTGCTAGCAAAGGTGACTGAGTTTCTTCCGCCACTTCTTCTCAGCGCCAGCCCAATGTTGTCCCGAAGTGGTGGTAGGGCTAGCTATATTCGGGACTTGTACAAGTGACTTGGAAAGGGCCTATGTACTGAATAAATGATATGAATTTGAATTATTTCTTTCGAGACTCGGCTGCCTTTTTGCGAATTAAGCAAGCGACCAAACTATTTTGATGACTGAATGATTTATTAATTTAATATTTCGTTGTTTCCAGAACCAAAGACATCAACAGGTGGAGGCTAGCCTACCCTGGAGGAAGCAGTCTTAGAGGACATCTAGAAGAACCAACAAGATCAGATCAATTTGAACTTTATGCTGTGAAGATACGGTTGAAACCAACGAAAATATATTTTCCTAAACCAGTACCTCTAGTAGGAAAAACTTTCGAGTTCGTTTCGTTGCGTATTCAAAGTGTCATCGAAAAATTTTGTATGAAAAATTAAACAGCGCCCCCTATATTATAGCCGCCCTAGGGGGCGCTGTTTAATTTTTCATACAAAATTTTTCGATGACACTTTGAATACGCAACGAAACGAACTCGAAAGTTTTTCCTACTAGAGGTACTGGTTAAAGGGTTAAGCGTCAGCAAGTTGAAATTTTCCACCATTTTGGATCTTAAGGCAAGGCAATAAGATAGGAATAACGTCGCAAAGTATATTATTTTATACTACGCCCGTTTTAGTAGGACGTTATACGTGTCAACTGGTTATGTCGATTTGCAGTCGATTCGTCATAGAAAAATATTGTAAATTCGTCACACGTCATTTATGTTATATTTTTACTACTTTTCACGAATTTTCTAAAAATGTGAATTTCACAAAAGTGTGACGAGTTTGTGACAAATGTACAGTAATTTGTGTCGACAGTTTAACATTTCTACTTGCCAAAAGTGCCAAAACACTACTTGTGGCAAATATTCTACCAATGAAAATAACTCTAACCAAAGTGTGACGAGTGTGTGACGAATTTACAAAAATCTGTGTCGACACTTGCCAAAATGGCGTCTATTAAATTATTTTAGATGTTCTTTAAGACAACCTTAGCCTCTAATGTGATTGTAAATATTTTAAACTATCACTGATATTTAAAAGGTAAGATTTTTTTGTCGTTTTGATGTTTTGCTTTAGTACTTAACGTTTTGCATGTCCATTGTTTTTAACGTTCGATATTTTTAAAGCAAAGCAATATTTTCTCTAAACTTGTTAATAGGTATTAATTTAACGCTTAGGGAAGGTGTTTTTGGGACGTCAAACGTAGTGTTGAATTTGACTGACCGTCATTTACGGTCAAATTGGTCAAAAACAAGTCATAAACGGTCAGTTTCGGTCAATTTGATTTCAGAAATAGTTTAGAAGTTTTATAGTATTTTCTTAGATTTTGTGATTGATAAAAGTCTACAACATCTTAATTGAAATAAAAAAGTGATTTGTAATTATTTATTAATATAGAAAAACATTTTACAGTTACAACTTCTAAATTGAAGCTATAAGTGTTTTGTAATGATTTATTGTGCTCTCTTTCTTTCCCTACGCAATTTATTACAAATTAACGTTCCTTCATTTAAAATTTGCATATAAATTGGTTACCTAAATAAATAAATTAATCGGTGGTAGTACAGTAATATTGAGTCAAATTGACTGAATTTGACCGTTTTTGACCAGTATTTGACCATAGTGACCTGTCAGATTCGGTCAATTTACATCTCTAGTCAAACGTCAGCGAGTCTTCTGACGTCATGTCACATATCAGTGTCACCCCTCCTCAGGCACTCTCTCAGTGAACCTATTGTAGCGGTCTTCCCTCGAGACTCAAATTAGTTAGTGTCTTATTTAGACACAACGCCTAAAAATAAATTCAGATCTGTGATTTATCGTAATTCACCCTTTAAAATGTTTGTACTAATTTAAAAAATGCGTTTTATGATAAAGTTTAGTGATAGATATGTAAGCTGGTCTTATTGTTGTTGCAGTCACTTATAACTCATATTTTTTAGTCAAAACCACTTTTGACTGGAATAATCAGTCAAAAGTGATTTTGACCAACAGCATCAATTAAAACCACTTTTGACTGATTTTTGCAGTCAAAAGTGGTTTTGACCGATTATGAGTTTTGACTGTAACATTGTCACTACTTTAAAATAAAAAGGTAAAATTATATAGACCAATCACAGATCAGAATCTGACTAAAATATAATCTAGTTTTGAGCGTTGTTTTGTAATACATACGTACTTCTAATGCCCGATTTCACCACCAATCCTAATTTTAAGTGACCCCTATGGTACCTAACACATAACAGGAATTTTGTTTTCATAGGGGTCACTTGAAACTTAGGGATTGATGGTGAAAACGGGCATAAGACTGCAGACTTTTAGTCGGCCTATAGTTTGGTTTGCTTTCAAATTATTTGTATGATGAATCAGCCGATACCAAATCTGTGTAATGTGCGGTCTTCAATACATGTTCATAAATTTAATATTTCTTCGGATTAGAGCAACAACCACGTGCTGTCAAACGAAACACATTTTGGATGACACTGGATATCATTTGTGTGTCAGTGTTAGGATGATTTCACTGTTTTGTACAATAAATCCTAAAGCACGTTTCTGGAGCACTATTTCTAATAAACACTCAATCTGAAAATATCTGGAAGAGTTCAAATTTTCAGCGTGCCAATAAGTGCCTCGGAACTGTCAAATAGTTGCAAAAACGGTTCTGTTTGACGTGACGGCGACGGCATCGTGCATCTCTTTTTATCACACTGTTGCTGCTAGTGACATCGCGCTCGCTCAGTTCTTTGTTGCTCTATTCCGCTAGGTATATTAAATTTATGAGCCTGACCAAACTAACGGCCGTCAAGGTCTGCAGTTTGCGATGGGTCTTACTTAGTCATATCAATGTTAAAGGTACTTCTAAATAAATTGTGACACGTGGTTTGACATAAAATAGTGAAATAAGTTATTGCACAAAATGGCTTCCATGGAACTTCGAAGTAGTTAAAAAATAATTCATAAAACGTTAATTCTGATATTAGATCTCATGGAATTTCAATAAAATATATAGTTTCAGAGAAATACATGTAAAAAATGTTATTCATATTTTTTAAAAACTTTCATTTGTTTGTTGAATTTTCAAATAAAAATCATAATACACTCGACAGCAAATAAATCGCACCACCCGCGACAAGCATTTTCAAACGTATGCATCCCTACTTCCCACCAATATTGGCACCATTTAAAAGCCTAGTTCTAAACTTCATTTTATTAAAGGAAAGGTTTTTACCCCAAAAATGTGTCTTGACAAGGATCCAGAGTCACTTCTTCAAAAAATAGGTAGTTACGCTATAGCCATTTTTTATGACTATAAAACTGTTAAGTTGGGATTAATCGCTATCCATCTGTTAAAGAGGACACGTGTGATCATTATTTGGTTTTATAACCATAAAATTTGGTCTAATTGATCCCAGAGGTGAGCCCAAAGTGAGGTCTTTTTTCAAGTCACATTTATGGTATATGTTAATCATTTATTAAGAAATTAAATGTGTTTTTCTTTAAGGATATTTATTGGGCTTTCAAATAACACCAATATTGTTGGGGCACCATTATTGTGTCAAAAGAAAATCTTTAAAGTTCGCGTTGCGGGTGGTGCGATTTATTTGCTGTCGAGTGTAGATTTCAAAAACTTGTTAAAGTTTTGGCACTAATGACTAAAATACTCATGTTTTTAAAACACTTAATAATACGACTTTAATATAACTAGTCAATTAGTTGGTTATTATGACAATAGCACTAGATAATTCCTGGAGTTGCCTCTAGCAATATTGGTCAATAAATTATGTAGTTTAAAAGAGCAGCGAACCAATTACTATCGTGATTTTTGCGTTTTCTTTATACAAAGTAGGTGAAATCTAGACCTAGTGTAAAATATGAAGTATGAAAATATGAATAAAATTATTCTTTCATTCTTGTGTTGTTTTGACCTATAAATTGAATCTATGAAGAAGCAGTTTGACTGCAAAATGTAAAAAAAAACATGCTTTTTAGTCTCATAATGATTTTGTAGTAGAAATAATGACTAAAATATTATTGTTATTTCTTGACAAGCCACGGCGAGAAAATATGTAACTGACAAAAAAAATATGAAAAAATAAAATAGAAAAAATAGAGCACTTATTTTTTTAGAACTGTAAATGACACACTAAACTGGTTTGGCAACATTATTCAAATGAATTGTTAAAAATGTGTATTAAAAAATAAAAAATATGTTTAATTTTTCATAGAAATTGTTATATTATTTATTATTATGAAGTCGGAAATGTGATATATTTTAATGTAGGTTATTCTTCAGCATATTGATATTGTTAGTTGTAGCGTTTTTAATAAATTAATGATTAAAATTATTTCTTTTATTTTATGTAAAAACACTCTTTTACACAAAACTTTAGAAAACAAGCTATTGTACAGAAAAACAGAATCGAATATTGTTGTATGGATGATAAACTACTGCATTGGCAGGCTTAATGCCTAACTGCATTCCCTACCTACCAACATGTAAAGGTTTAATTTTAAATAAAACACGATTTTTATAACAAAACTATATTCCAACAACTATAAGTAACATTTCATTTAACTAAAAACAAATTCACTTATTTGTAAAAAAATAATATGACTTCTTCAGACAGAAAATTTAAATTTATCCTAGGTATATTTTACTAATTTAACAGAATGTATATTTTACTAAAATAGACTAGCCATGTTGTGTTCTACTCGGATATGGTGGGTCCACGCTTCGATATCTTGAAAATCCTGGAAAATAAAAAATAATTATGATTAATTTCTAATATTTTAGTCTCTGGTCGCGTGGAGGCAAACGTAAGACTGCTCGATGGACCGACGACATCAAAAAGTTAGTGGCTGAATGAAAAAAGCGAGGTCCATAGGTACTTAAGATTTTTCTCCTACCATGTTATTCTGATTAATTTCGTTGCGGGTCCAAGGACAGTTCAACTTTCCCTAGGGACAAACTTGACCTTCACTGGTTGGGTTGGCGGTCAAGCTGTAGATCCTGGCTACACAAGAGTTGCAGTGGGAACGAGAGGTGGGAATAGTCCTATAACTCATGACTATGAGCCTCCTCCACTATAGTGGAGGGTTTTGCCATAATCCCCACGCTTGGCAGGCGGGTTGGAGATCGCAGTTTAAAAGATTGATGTTTTTCAGAGAGCGCTGCTGCCCGTTCTCTGTTTGATGTGTAGTCCCTAAGTCGCCTCTTACGACACCCGCGGGAAGAGTATGGGTTGGTGACAAATGTATTCTACTCTGCCGTCACCACACTGCTTATCTGTCGGTGCTATAACCAGAG